GTAGTGATTTGGGAGCTGTTTGGGCGACTCAGCGGGCCCTGCGAGGGTTGGCAGAAGGCGTGTGTTTGCCGGTTTAGGGCCTAAAATTATTAGTATTATTATTATTACTACTACTACTTCTTCTACTACTACTACCACCATTATAACTGTTATTGTTATTATTGTTGGTATCGCTCTTGTTACTATGGTTATTAAAAGTGTAGGGTTGGAGGTCTGATTTCCAGATGTGTCTCATCCTCAAGCAGCAGACAGAAGAAGAAAGCCTCAAGCCCTGCATAGCCGAAAGTGCATGCCCGCGTACCTAGGTCCAGGGTGACACTTTCGAACTATGGCGTTCATGATTTTTTGAGACGGAAGTACAGACTTAGGGTGAGTATCTATCCTCTTATCGCACGTATGCGACGAAGTTATAGTATAACCCGAAGTCGTGTTCTAATCATCAAGGCTTGTAGACTACTTTGTCGGGATTCGGGCTGATGGTGTTGATGTGGGGTTTCAGGCTTTGGGCTCACATCGCCAGCCAGGACTGCGCGTCGGGGATAGCCCTAAATCCTACAAAACCCAAGTTGCTTACTATAGGGGCTTAATAATGATCAGAATAATAGTAAGCATAATAATCAGAACAGCAAATGTTAATACTAATTTGGGGGTTCCTGATTCTAATTATAGAAGAATGGGCGCCCCAAAACCCTATTCTACTGATTAAGGTCTTTACAGTGCCCGAAGCCCCAAAACTCTAAACCGTTAAGGTTTCCCTCAACCCTAAACAATAGACCCTAACCCCTAAAACCTAAACCCTGAACCCTAAACCCTACACCCTGAACCCTAAACCCTGAACCCAGGGCCCCTGGAGGATCCTTTCACACTCCACGTCTACCTGGATCCACAAGCTGGCTCTGCAACAGGCGTCCGGCATCAGTTGCCTATTGCACTGGGGAACACGACTGCGGCATGTCCTTATTCTTGGTACGGCCGTAAGTCAGTATTGCTTACTGGGATAGACATGTTCAGAGCTTTCCTGCCACCAGAAAACTTTACCCGGTCTACTTGCGGGAGGGAAGTAATAAAGGTGTCCGCAGCGACTTCAGTCGTCGAGGTCTTGCAGGTTGTCGTAGTTGTTGACTGTCGTTCCTACCCAGACCTCCGCCCTGGCGGTCATCGTTATCATCACCGTCACCATCATCGCCATCAACACATCATCCTGAGCTCCTCCTCCGCATCATCATCAGCAGCAGCAGCATCATCATTATCGTCGTCGTCACATTCACCGCTATCACCACCACCATCATCATCGTCATTGTCATCACCATCGACGTTTTGATTGTCGCTGTTGGTGTTGAAGATCCGCTGCTATCGCTGATGACGGTCTGTTGCCATTTGCTGCTGCCGCTGCTGTTGTTGCTGCATTGATTCGTCGTCACTGTGTTGCGACCGAGACGATGTGGCATTGTACTAAAAGTATTATGTGACGGACCCATGCGATCCGGTAGGAAGTGCAGAGATGGCGATTGTCCAGTCTGCTGTCCGCTGTCAGGCCGCCTTTATTTGGACGACTACCGCACTCGCATGTACGAGGACAGGGGGGACAAGTTCTGCTTGCAGGGGTTGGATGACGCGAAATTGATGTTGTATCCCTTGCAGCCATGAGACAGTGGGCCTGCACCATTCGGGCTCAGATCTCAATGAGGCTAAGCCACGTTTCAGTTGGGAACGTCTTGTTACCATGAAGCCTGCATGTACGCGGGCACGCCGCTGCCACTCACGAGCTCAGGCACATTTACATAGCCATGATCTTGAAGCCACAGGCACAGTGGTGAGCGGGACTCATAAGCGTACAGGTACTTCGTGGTCATGGCAAAAGTCCTCAAGAGACGGTACTTAAAGGATCATGGGACTTAGTAACCAGGGTTTATAATTAGGGTAATTAACTCTACTTATAACTACTTAAATTATAAATCCAACTAAGGTACTTATAACCTTACTTACTAAGTCCCATGATCCTCCAAATAGTCTCCGACAGGGAGAAGAGAAGCGCACGTGACTTTCACCTGAGGCCCATAGATTGACTCGACCGAGTCATCAACAGTGGCAAGTACAAGCGAGGAGTGAAAGAGATATGAATCCCGCTAAACATTGAGCCCCAAAACCCAGCCCTCGATAGCTACGCCCCACCCTGCCAAACCCCTCAGCTCTAAACCCTGAGCCTTAACCTCATCTACCCTACACGACGCACCCCACGCCCTACACTCTATAAATCAACCCCACTTACCTGCCAAGCTACGCAAACATGGCCTGCGGACCTGTGGTCGTGGCAGTGGGGTCGCCCAATTGGGATGCTTGGCAGCAAGCCCCACACCCTCAGCCCAACAACTCTGAACTCTACGGTCCTCATGTCAATGGTTCGGGGCTTTAGGGTTGGGGGGGTTTGGGGGTTCGGAGTTTAGCTTTAGATCAGTTTTTCGGGGCTGTTTGTTTTGGTAGGGGACAACGTCGTATCCAGACTCTGCGTTTCGGGAGTGGGGTTTGGGCTAGGGTTGAGGATTCAGCTGAAGGTTTCAGGGGTTTCAGGCGTTTGTTGAGTGTTTCTGTGTCCAGGACTTTCACACCCTGACCACCTAGAACCGTAAACCCTAAAGTCAAAACCTTCGAGCCCTCGATCCGCAGCCCCAAACCCACGACTACGACCCAAAAAGCCGTACACTCTGAAGGGCGTGGTTAGGTCTTGGCCCCTAGATCCGCATGTAAACACGATGAAGTCATGTGCAAACCCTGTTCAAGGCTTATGAACGAAGAAATGCTGTCAGAACCATGCTCAACCCTAAAGCCTAAACAAGCCTATTTACACCAAAACAGACCACAACCTCTGCAGAGCCCCCAAAATCCTAAACCCAAACCCCTGAACCGTAAACCCTGCACCTTAAACCCTAAAACCTTCAACCCCAAAACCCCTTAAACCCATCAGAGCTGAAACGACGACGCAAGGACACCATGGCCTTCGTGCCAGACGCTTTCCTCTCCGAGCATGGCTTGGGCCGAGGATTTGGGCGGTCCGGGATTGGGAAAATAAGGGGGTGCCTTATTATTTTGGGGTCCTCAGAATAAGGATCCTACAGTACTATTTAGGGTAATATATTAGGGTCCCCTATTTTCGGAAACCGCCGTTTAGGGGTCTTGGGCTTAGGGATTAAGGTTTCGTGTTTGGGAAGTCGCGTTCACGGCTCTCGGTTTCGGGTTGTGGGTTTTCCTTGTTGTTTCTATGGTTTGGCGTTTATACATGCCTTTCGAACTTACGAGGAGTGACTCGTGCTTGTTCATCCTAGAGGCTTGCGGGCGTTGAACGTTACAGAGTTCAGTCTTAGCATGAAACCTGTATGATCTCAGGATGTGCGACTTCGGCTTTGTGCATCAGGCCGAGCACAACAGAGAACCCCATACAACCGCAGAAACCGACGTACTCAAGGCTGAAGCCTTGCGAACTCATACCCTGAAACCTGGACAGTGATGAAAAGCCCTTGGAACCGAGACCTGCGCCAGACGGTAGGTGATGCAACTCCGCTGGACGATGGTGCAGCCTCTCGGATGCATAAAAAGGTTAAAAAGAAACATGTGGAAGATCGTAAGTCTGTTCCGTTGGTTCCCCGCTGATAGTTAAATATGGTATAGCATATGCCATAACCCTTGTCTAGTTACCTAGGCCCTCCCTAGTAGTAGAGTGGGCAACCTTTAACCCTTTCTGCGTAGTCTAGCCTCTATCTAATCCCTACAAAGCCAAACAGCTTAAACTTTAGTTCCCCATGATACCCATCAAGTAGGCCTCGTAGTGGCGGAAAGGTAAATTCGCGCCCCAGGCCTCATACACAAAACCGAGGGCAGCCTGCGGACCCTGAATACGAAGCCATATCATTCGACATTCGAAACACAACACATCGTTACCCAGAACGACTAGACCCCAGACCCTGCTCTGCCCTATCTTCATGTTACTTAACCCCCCGCCAATCTAGGTAAATTTATGGCCCAGCACCTGTAAAAAGCGAGTGTTTCTGCATATTTTTGGGTTTAGGCAAGCTCAAAAAACGCGACTTTGGCCAGGCTTTTCGAGCGCTGAAGGAGTCCGCGAAATCCCTCTCTGCCCACACACTGTCGCAACCCGACATGCAGCCGGATCTAAGAGGTTTCGGGGATACAGGGGGGGTTTTTGAAGAGGGTCTAGGAGTATTTAGGGGTTACTGGGTTTAGGGTCTATGGAGTTTAGGCCATATCGGGTTGGGTTTTAATGGGTACTTTTGGGCTCAGGAACTCCGAGAGTTAAAGGTCCTTCCTTGAACGCCTTAGGGGCCGTGGCAGTGCATAGGTTTAGGGTTTACGGGTTTCGGGCTCAGGGTTTTAGGTAGATGGAGTCTGTATTGTATTGGGAGGCCTACTATATTTTGGGCAACTATTCATGGTGTTTAGATTAGAAGCTTTCTTCCAGGTCTTGAAGGGCAGTTACATTGCTTCATGTCTCTCAATGCTGCGAGCCTGCAGCTTCTAGATGTCTCTTCCGCTACCAGTTTGCACATTCTGCTTGCTGATTCTGGATTGTGAATGTGTAGCAACTATTCAGCGGAGGCTCTTGGTGGACCCTATCACCCTAAACACTAAGCCCGAAATCGTAAATCCAAAAACCCAACCCCGAAACCCGCATCACCGAAACATCAAGAGACCTTCGACCCCAAACAACCCATGTAATGTAGGGGCCTAAATAGTTACCAATACTATTCAAGGGGGTTACTTATCATAATCATAGTATAATGGGCCCCGATACCCTATTCTGATCATGAAGGTCCCTATATTACTAAACCCTAAACCCTAAACCCTAAACCTCGTCGTGTGCTTCCTCTTGGTCGAGTGTTCCCTCCTGGTCGACATGGTCACAAACGAGTCCTTGGAGTTCTTCATCGAGGTCTTCGTGGAATGTGGAAGACACAAACTTTAGCACCAGCTCAACTACTACTTGGTGCATGGGAGCAATTTCTTGGTGTGACGCGAAGCTGAAAACAACCACGAGCTCCACCACCCAAGGCAACATGAAGATTCGTGATCTCTATGTAGAGCCAACTCATTTAGTTGAGGCAGTGCCCTTTCCACATGTTTGGAGGGACAAATGGCAGCTCACCCTGACGTCGACTACGTCGACCTCGACACTTGTGGCGGAAGGAGTCCCAGGGGAGGGCCCTCCTGTGCTCCCCAACTTCGGCCTGTTTCCTGAAGTTCGCCCAGCTCGTCTTCCTCTTGACGACGATGAGAGCGGTTTAATGCGAATTCGGGACTCTGAAATTGCTCTGATGCAGGAACATGGGGCAAGTCGCACACACATCCGTCGTGTACAAGACTTACTCGCCGCCCTTGATGAACACCAGGTTGGAGGAACGGGACCTGAGTCTCGTTGGGCGCTTGCGCGACTGCTGCAGCGGGTCACAGACGCCCAGGAGACGTTCGACGCCACCATGCGCATCCTTTGTAGGCGCCTCCGCCCGAGAGGTGTCCTCCCCGTCCAAAGGGAACCTCGGCAAGAGAGCACACGATGGCGCATGTTTATGTGGGGTCGGCAATTTGCTGGGATCTTTCGCGACTGTCTGGAGCTGAACATGATGACCCCTCTCCAGCCTGATGAGTTTGAGGGCGAGGTTGTCGGTTCTGGGGCGTCGTCCTCTTCGTCTCCTGTACCCGAAGGTCGTGTTCAACGAGGACGGTCTAGATCCCGACCGCGCACAAGGACACCTGTTTCTACTCCCCCAGCTTCGCCGTGGGACAGTGAGTTTGCGTTCAACTCTGACGGGGAGATTATTCAGGTGCCCTCTGCTGCGTCTGACGCTGCCCCGAATGGACCTCCTGCACCAGTTCCTGTTAACCTCCCACCTACGGAACTGATGGGGATCTGGAGAGAACCGACGTCGCCAGGACTTGAAACAGAGAGCTCTACGACGACCACGACCTTGGACACGTGTGGTGGGACGACTTCTACTTCGACTACGGCTCTTACTTGGGATGAGGATGTGCATATGGGCGAGATGATGGTCAACCAGACCCACCATCTACCTGCTATTCCTTGTATGTGGACGGGGCTTGAACCGAGCACTACAAGCACGAGCACTACTTCGTCTAATATAATGGCCGGTGGACGTGGTGCGAGATGTAGTCAACACACAACTTGTACATGGTGGCCCGGCCGACTATGTGCAGGTTATCCAGACCCTCTTGGCTCGTCAGCGACGATTGCAACACACCCAAAGGCTCATCGTGGAAGCCCTTGGAGAAACGTTGCAGTGGTTTCGAGTTCACCCCAACACGGAAGCAATGAATGCACGTACCTATGAGCGCAATATCTGGGCGGCAGTCGTTCACGAAGCTGAATTTGGCTCAGGGGCGTCCTCGACCGTGACAAGCCAAACCGTGTCTGCACCCTCCGTTCTTCTTCATCCTGGGTTCCCGGACAATCTCTACGAGTTGGAGAATGCCCTGCCGGAACAGGATGCGGCCACCATTCATGGTTACAGGCGTAGGGCTTGGAGAAGTGCCGTGGCCAATGTCTACAGAGAACAAGGCCGAGATCCTCCTCCCAGTGGTGCCTGGCCGTCTGAGAATGACCGGGAGCTGTACGTGACCCAGCTTGATGACTTAGCAGAAGTGTACAACTGGCCAGATAATGAACCTCGACCCGCGCACCCTACGCGCCTCAGTCGCCGACGAGCCGGACTACAACGAGCTCAAGGGCGCCGTCGTCATCGTCTGCCTCGTCCCCCTCCACGTCGTGTAGCCCCTGGCGTTCCAGAGATGATTGAACAGATCCGAGCGGATGGAGGGGTGGTTCGTAGAGGTCGCGCGGCTCGACGTCGACGAGTGTCGATGAGTTCTCATGTTGTACATGCTCGCAGTGATCCTGTACATGGTCGTCGTCGAACTCGTCCAGATGGTCCGCCTCCTCCAAACTTGGGTCCTGATGTTGGAGTTCCTCTGAGTGGCATCACAGTGACTCGTGAGAGAAGCCGTAGTCGTGATCCGTAGTGTCCTGGCTTGGCTGAGGGATGTGATTGATTCGCAACCGGAGTTGTGGTCTTCTTGCCATGGTAGTGCATGCACCTGCCGTATGTGCCGTGTTGCCCACTACTGTGGCATTTTCAGTGTATGCCCCTTGTGAGGCTGGCTGCTTCCGCTAAGAGCTCGCTCGACCGCACAGAAAGAAGCCATTGCACTTTAAAAAAAAAAAAACCCTAAACCCTAAACCCCTATATTACTAACACCCCAGCACCCAAATCCCACTCCCTTGATCCCCACCGTAAGCCCTAAAACCCCCGCTACAGACTCGAAGCTCCTACACCGGGCGAGTGCTGAAGCGCTTACGGTTTTGTAGGATATATGGGGATTACTTGGAGGTTCAGGAGTAGTTATAAGTAGTAACCCTACTTATAACTACCCATGAACCTCCAAGTAAGGCTTAGGGGTCAGGATTTCAATCAAAAGCCCCCACGCCATCAAAGAGCCTTTTCACAGGCAGTGCGGTGGTTGCTCCTGCAACACCGCCAAGGCCAGGGACCGGACCAGAAAGCCTAGCTTTAGGGTTTAGGATTTAGGGTTTAGGGTTCAGGGTTTAGGGTTTAGGGTTTAAGGTTTAAGGTTCAGGGTTTAGGGTTTAGGATTTAGGGTTTAGGGTTTGGAATTCAGAGTCTGGGTTTACCTATAGTCTCCATTGTAGTTCTTTTTGATTTGGGTTAACCAGTTTTATGGTTAGGATCCTATAATAGTATAGTTTTGGGTTAACCAAAAAAAGGAACTACAAAGGAGACTATAGGTCGTCTAGGTTTTGAGGTTTAGACATGATGATGGGGTTCAACTAGGCGTAGTTTTTTTGAATTTGGCGACGAAGCGTGGCATCTCCATCATTGCCAGCGGTTTTCGAAAACATGCGAAGACACAAGCATCCTGCTCCGTAACTATATGGCTACATTGATTCTTAATCCTGTATCCGAAACCAAAAGCTGCTAAGCACAAATCAATGAGGTGCTCTCTTGCCTGGGCTGCCAGACCTTCTTTTGCGGCTGTGTGGGCGGTGATGAGGTGGACTGCCCCCAAACACGGGGTGCAAGGATTTGATGTGAACACTAAGCCCCTAAACCTTTAAGCCCCAAACCCTGTAGCGTTGCCACAGCGATTGGGCATGACCCCCTGCACGTAGCACACAAGTCGTCTAAAATAGGGACTGAAATACTGACCTAATAGTAGTGCAATGGGCCCACAACCCTATTCTAAATATTAAGGCCCCTATATTATGGTTTATCGGGCTTCGTGGTCGGAGTTGAGGGATGCGGCTTGCAACAAGGGTAATGTAGGGGCGTTACTAGCCAGAATAGGGCTCCCTTTAAAAGGGTCCCTATAAAGGCCATCAATAGGGGATCTATGAGGGTACTATACTATAGGGGCCTTAATAACTAGAATAGGGTTTTGGTGTTCCTCATTATGCTTGTAGTAGAATAACCCCCCCCCCCCCAACCTTATTCTTTTTATGGCCCCTATATACATTAGATGGAGTCTCCCCGGAGTCGAGAGCATAGCAGGTGGCCGGCGAATTCCGGGAGGCTTTGTGCCAACTTGGCATGGTGGACCTTTGCGCTGAGGCCCTATGCCCACGCACCCCCCACATGCTAAGCCCCCTTTGACGACAAGCTCCTGAGTCTTAGGTTCGAGGGCCTGTGTGATAAACGGTTTTGCTCTGTTGGGATGTCGAGCGCGTCAGAACTCAGAACGAATAAACAGGTTCGGGTTCCTGGTGCTCGCCGCAATGTAAGGGGGGGATCATCAAGATCCAGAGACGTTGCCCTTGTCAAAATGCCCGGCTGTATCTTCTAGCCAGAGCAATGGTCATGATCAGCACAATAGCTGTCAGTGACGACAGTGGTGTTTGATCCCCGCCTTTTACAACCTATTTTGAATATTTACCGGGAGAGCAAGAGCAGGAGCAAAAGCAGGAGCAACAGCAGGGGCAGGAGCCCCGGCAGGAGCAGGAGCAAGACCCGCAGCAGGAGCTGGAGCAGGAGCTGCAGCAAGAGCAGGAGCAAGATCTTCCCCAATGTGAAAGTAGAGATAAAAAGACACCTCTTTATTGCGGGTGGGGGCCGTTTAGCATTCGGGGGAAGGGATTACACATAAACAACCCGAAAAGTTGCAGTAGAAGAATCCTTGCTATAGCAGCCCCTGCATAAGGGATCCCAAAGTCGGTGAACCAAAGTCGGTGAACTTGCGGTTTGTGCGACTTAATTACGATTCATGGTTTACTAGCCCGCGGCTCATGAAGAACTGCTATCTCGCCCTGATAGCACCTGGGATCCTCGAATTCTTGAGCCCGAACCCTCACCACGAAGTTCCATCTCCAAGCAACAAACACTCCTAAACCAAAATCGTACCAATGCCAACGTGAAGCATGTCCATTCAGTTTACGGTTTCGAGTCTCCGTGGACTGTGGGGCGGCTCAGAGAGTTGATGGGGTTTCCGGGTTTTTAATGTCAAGGGCCTGGTGAACGGCTTAGGGCCTAGGCACGTGAGCATCCTGTGCGATGAAGGTAGAAAGAGTGAAATACGTAGACCTCAGAGAAGGCTGTGTTTGCATGCTTGGAGCCCCAGGGCTGGACCACCATTATCTTTGAACCCCACATTTTCAGCAGCCTCTGCGTCGAACCAAAGAAGGGAAGATCTCGCGAAAATTGCAAAGGAAGCAAAGATCTCGCGGGCTATGGCTGAGGGCTGAAAGCGACGGGTCTAGGGTTTCGGGTGTAGGGTACCCTAAACCATAAGCCCTAAACCCTGTTGGGCTGAAAGCCATCAACCCCAACTTGAGCTAAAGAAACAGACCAAGACCGACGGTTTAGGATTCAGGGTTTAGGGTAACCTGCAACACAATCGACCCAAATTCATCCCTCGTCCTTGAAGAGCAGTGAGGACATGCGACTTCACCCTATCATTGTCGCGAGCCAACAGACCATAAGGGTCCACCGGATCCCACATGGTAATTTGGGTTCAGGATACTAGTTAAGTAAATTAGAGTTTTAGGATATTGTTCCCCAACTCATCCAGACCTTGATATCCCACCCCAAACGCTGAAGAATATATGGTTGTTAGGTACCTGACCGTCAAGGGAAAGCCCACCACGGCACTTGGAAGGGCAGGGGACTTCGTAAGTAGGTTATAAGTAGAGTTCTAAGTACCCTAAATGGAGTTACCCCAATTATAACCCTACTTATGAACGACTTACTAAGTCCCCTGCCCTTCCAAGCAGGCCCCCGACCGAGACAGTGGGGAGGTTCTCTGCTTGGTTACCGACGACGGGGAGCGCTCCTTCGCTTATCGCACAGGCGATCGCGGATTTTCTGGGCTTTGAAGTACCATACTTTAATACTTTTTTCTTAAAGGAACCATTATGAAATACAAGTTTATACTTCTTTCTCCCTGGTTACTTAAAAGCAGTTTTAAGTTGTAGAAATTTCGGGTTTCGGGTTTAGGGAACTGGAGATGGGTAAACAGTTCGTTTTTTTGGTTTCGGGTTTACGACTGTTTTTTTTTTGCGGGCTGAGGGTTTATCTGTTGGTTGTAAGGGGGCCGGGGTTTGAGTTTTGAGCTCGTAAATGCTTTGTTGCGGTGTTGGCCCGCCCCCACGCACTTAATTGGTCTAGCGAGGAGGGTGTCTCTGACCATTGGGGACCCCTGCCGCAGGGCTTGCAGAAGGCATCCTGCTGTCTAAGATCTATGTCAGCGTCGCTTGGTTCCGGATGCTCATAGGCTCATCAGGATGAGATTGACAAGCTATTTAGTAGCAGCAGGCAGAGATAGTTGTAGCAACAGGCGGGAGAGGAGTCACAAATCAGACAATCAGACCCTAAACCCTAAACCTAACCCTAAACCCTAAACCCTAAAACCCAAACCCAGGCCCGGTTGTGGATGCTGCATATTTTTGAGGCTTAGGGTGGAGGACTGCAACACAGAGAATGCTGCCACTTGGGTACGGCCCCCACTCAGTAATAGTCGAATACTATTCATGATATAGATATAGTAGGACCTTAATAGTAGCCCTATCATAGACTCTTACTGTATGGGGGCCGTACCTAAGCTGCCACCCTCCACCCACCGACCGGGTTTTTCCTGGGTGCAGGATTTCGGGCTTCTAGGGTCGTACTGGAGGTACGGCTGATGATAGAAATCCTGCATTACCCAGAATAAGGGATATACCATGATTCCCATAGTTTAGGATCCTTAAGGCAATGCAGGATTTATACCATCAGCCGTAGCACACGTCCCGTGACGGCGTTGACAGAATTTGCTTTGTCTAGAGTCTAGGGGCCTGAAAAGACTGATAGTTGTATTTAAAATGTAGTAGGACCTGATATGAAAGACATCCTGGCCAATTTAGTAAAGCGCTACTGTAGCAGCATGAAGTATCCAATAATCACGTCGCAACTCCAAAAATTGCCAGGGCATGCTTCAGAGCACTATCAAGTCTTACAACCCCATATCACTCGAACAAACCTATAAGCCGAAGCCCTAAACCCTGCCCTATAAGCCCCATGTTCAGAATCCTCTTACGGCCTTTGAAGAGGTGTCGCGTCGGACGCCTTGGAAGCAGCAGCTCTATGTGCTGCTCTCGACCGCGTCGTAGCCCCACAGGGTTGATGATGGTTTGGGGCTTTACCCATAGGCTCCATAGTAGTTCTTTTTTGGGATTCATATGTAGAATCCTTTAAGGTAACCCCAGAAAGGAAACAATTTCGAGCCTCTGGGTAGGGTTGTTTTGAGTTTAGGGGGGCAGAGGCTGGGATCGAAGGTTGGGTTTGGGTCTGGGGGCCTAGGATAGGGGGCGGGAAATATCATGACGGCGACATCAGCGGCAGGACGACGATGAGGCGATTACCGTGGCAGTGATGAAAGTGCTGAAGCTGACACTGCGGCTGTGATTGGTGAAGATGGCCGCGACGAAGATATCGTCATGCTGAGACTTCGCCATGATAACAAGACCGATATGTTGATTACCGCTGTTGGCAGACCGTACGACGACGGGTGCGCAAAGACCTGACATGACGGTCGGAGTTATGTTGATGGAGGGTACTATGACGACCACTATGACGGTGTTGTTGGTTTCTTTCGCAGTTGCGTTTGCGAAGGTTGTGGTGCTGATGGTGGTGCTGGTACCGGTGCTGGTGCTGGTGCCGGTTCCTGTGCTGGTGCCGGTTCCTGTGCTGGTGCTGTTTCTGGAGGTAGAGATGGTTCCTCCCTGGTTCCTTGATGTGTCCATCGACTGAATAATTGAGTGTTTGATTGTTAGGTGGGGTGGATGGATGGTTCGACGGATGGATGGAAGCATGATGGATGGATGGCTGGGATGGCAGGCATGGCATGGAATGGACATGAACGAAATGGAGCGGAATGGACATGAACGGAATGAAACGGAATGGTTTCATGGATGGCTGGCTGCCTGGCTGCCTGGCTGGGTGGGTGGGTGAATGGAGGTGCTTGGTAGAAAAAAGAGGCCTCTGATGGTGAATGATTGCCATCGTAGCAATCATCATCAGCAGCAACAGCATCAGCAACATCATCATTCACCATCATCATCACCACCATCATCTCAGCACTCACAACACTCAGCGTGTTTTTGCGTTGGCATCTCATCGAGGTATTCGTTGTGCGAGTTATGTGTTGTCGGCCATACGAGCTTCGTGCTCTTAGTCGTCCTCATCAGCGGCATCAGGTCATCAGGTATAATGACACATGGCACCCTACAAACCTTAAACCCTATAAACCTTAAACCCTAAGCCCTAACCCTATAACCCCTATAAACCCTATAAGCCCTATAAACCCTAAACCCTAAACCCTAACCCATGGTTCTTGTCCTTGATGCTGAGGTTGCCGGCCGAAGCGGCAAAGTGGACTTGGTCTACGTCGATGCCTATTCGCTTCTGTGCCCAGGCGCAGAAGGGCCCTATACGGGAGTTTCCGAAATTTAGGGGTACCTTATTTTGGGGGCCTTACAACAAGGATTCTATTATTTCGGGTATTACTCATGAGGGTTTCCTATTTTCGGAAACTCCCATACCCCTAAACACCGAAACACTCACTGACATACTAGCGACAAGTTCGATCACCAACAGCCCGAGCCCTAAACCCGGAACGCCCCCGGAATCCAAAGCGAAGTCCTGTCAAGAGCCCCCGAGCAGAACTCACATGGTGCAGGTATCACTCAAAGGGGAAAAGGGGGGAGCCTTCGTGGGGAGACCTACGCTATAATGGGCTATATAATGGGTATATAATAGCTATATTAAGGGTATATACCTAGGGTTATTTTGGGTCCTCCTTTTACCCTTGGTATCACTGCCAACTCTAAGTCTGTAGGTGTTGACAGGTTTTATGTTAAGGACCGCCAGCGCTCGGGGCGCTTTTGTGGCCTTCAGATTTGTTTCAGGTTTTGCTGATGTGGATTAGGCTTCCCTTCCAGGTTTTACATGAAAGGGACCAGAGCCAAGTTGTCGCAGGGTCTCTCCGATTTATGTTGGGGTTTCCGAAAATTAGGGTACCTTATTTTGGGGGTCCTTTTGATAAGGATCCTATTATTTAGGGTGCTATCTTAGGGTCCCTATTTTCGGAAACTCCCATATTCCAGGTTTCATCACAGGTTTAGGAAGGTGGAACAGATGGGTTGCTGGCCCCTAATCAGGATCTACGGCCGAGGACACCGTGCACGCGGCCGCATCTGGGTGCTGGGATAAGCCATAATGACTGGACCCAATATGAGGGTCTAAATAGTTACCAATACTATTGGGGGGTTTCCTTACCCTGCTAGTCATTGCAATACACCCCCCTCCCCCCAAAAGAAAACCTTGTTCCAACTATTAAGACCCCTATACTTGAGCTACAGAGTCGAGGTAAAGAGCCTGGAGATGAAGTCGGAACACAGTGCCCAAATCATGAGCCTTGCCACGAGCCTAAAAGGGAAAAGGCCAAAATCACAAAGCACACATGGGTAGTGCTCGAAATCAGGATCCCTTTGGGGGGGGGTCCTTGTTATCTGGGTGCCGTACTATCATTATGGCCGAAAAGGGCTAATTTGGAGAACCACCCCCATGCAGAAAACTGCCTTCAGCCGCATTTCTGGCTCTGCCTTAACTCAAAGCCCGATCACCAATTCTGTATAATTGCCGAAGTCTACAAGCTACGCTTCTGCCATCACCAGCACCCTTGATACCAACAGTTGCAAAGCTGATAGTACTATTGTTGGTAGTACCAGAAACATACGTAGGCAAACTGTGGCCAGAAAGCTGGATCAACGAGCTTTGAGCCTGTAGACGGCACTGCGAAGCCGAGTTCCGAATGCAACACCCTGATCAGCAAACCTCGGTGCTGGAGCTCTTCCCTGAAGACGCCGAGTACAACGACCAACAAATTTCGAGACCCTTTTTCTCCACAAGACGATCCCCGAGGCTTCGGTAATAATCTACTGCTACTTAGGGTTTAGAGTTCAGCCACAAATTTACCCCCGAATGCCAGTCTAATCATTATCGCCCCTGTGCCAAACCTTGGTAGAAACCCTACAGAGCCCCTCTAGCGGAGGCAGCGGAGCCGATTTAGGGACTACGAATCTACTTCTTAGTGCCCCTATTACCCTAAATCTAGAGCCCTAAACCCCAAATGCTTCGGCGAACCGAAACAGGATCGATTAAAAACGACAAAAACTAAATTTCTAAACTCCTAAACCCGAGACCCTAAGCCCTAAACCCTGAACTCCTAAACCCCAGACCTTATCGTCAACATGCGCCCCTCCGTCGTAGGAGGGCCTGCGCAAAGCACGCAGCCTTGGGGCAAAGGCCGCCCTTAGTAAGTCAGGTTGCAACAGGGGTTCCGGGTTTAGGGGTTTAGGGTTTAGGGATTTTTGTCAGGGTTTCTCTAGGGACTTCAATGAGGATTTCTTGGGGGTTTGTAATTGAGTTCCAGGGGTGGGGTTTTGTCATTGAGGAGGGGATAATAAATGTGAAGTCAGCATTAATAAACCCTAAACCAAACCCTAAACCCTAAACCCTAAACCCTAAACCATAAGCACTGGGAACCTCTAGTCTCGAACCCAAGACATGGGTTGAGGGTTTACCGTGAGGCTTCTGTGTAAGTAGTAAAGGCGATAGAAGCAGCTTCGGTAGTACCTATGGTCTCCATTGTAGTTCCTTTTTTGGTTAACCGGTTTTATGGTTAGGATCCTATAATTTAGTTTTTGGTTATCAAAAAAACGAACTACAAAGTAGAGTATAGGTACAGAATGAAGGGCTTGTAATCCGGGTCTTGTACTTAAAGGATCGTGGGACTTAGTGACTAGGGTTTATTTTTAAGGTAACTCTACGTATAACTACTTATAACCCCAATTGAGGTACTTATAACCTTACTTACTAAGTCCCATGATCTTCCAAGTAGACCCTAAACCCTAAACCCCATAGATCCCTTTTAAGAAACCCCTATAAATCCCTTTAGGGAGCGCTTTTAAGGAACCCTTACTAAGTCCCATGATCCTCCAAGTAGGGTGGGCCTGTCGAGGTTTCGGATCCGGGTGCTCCAGCTTCAATGCTGCAAGGTTAGAGCTTCTCGTTGTGGGAGTTTCAGATTTTTAGGGGTGCCTTGTTTTGGGGTTCTTAGAATAAAGATCCTACAAGGGTACTATATTGGGGAGGGGTGCCTCATTTTGGGGTTCTTATGAAAAGGATCCTACTATCTAGGGTACTATATTGGGGAGGGGTGCTGTATTTTGGGGTTCTTATAATAAGCATGCTACTATGTAGGGTACTATATTAGGGTCCCCTATTTTCGGAAACTCCGTTGTGGAGCTTGGAGGCTTTCTTTTTGGGGGGCACCAAAAAGTTGCCACTACTGTTGATGATATAAATCCTGCATTACCGGTAGTTATAAGTGGGTTTATAAGTCGCCTAATATAGGTCATAACCATAGTTATCCTACTTATAACCCTACTTATAACTACCCATGAACCTCCAAGTAAGGACCCTAAACTATGGGAAGTCTGGTATATTCCCATGCAGGATTTATATCATCAAGCGTACCACTTTCAAACCTATGTCTGGCAAACCTGTGACGAGACTCTTGCATGCCCGATGAAGCCCATCAGGAGCACGTGACTCACCTGACAGGCGAAGGAAGCTCGCGAAGCCCTACAACCCAAAGCGCGAATCCCACAGCGACAGACGTGCTCCGTCAACCGGAAGGAAGTGATATAAATCGCCGCACCCTAAACCCAAAACCCAAAACCCTAAACCCTAACAGTCTATCAAACCCGTAAGAAACCCATAAAGTCCCACAGCCCTCAGACTGGAATCAACCTCGGCTCCAGCGGAATCGTCCGCGCACAGCCTCGGGCCGAAATTTGTGCCAGGATAGCTTCCTGGACCCTACCCTAAGGCCCCAAAGTAGTTCCTTTTTTTGCTTAACCAGTTTTATGGTTAGGATCCTATAATAGAGCCCATGCGGACTCGATAGTTGGGAAGCCTCCGACAATTACAGGGAGCTCCAGAAAGTTGGAATATGGTTTCAGGGTAGGATACCCTATAGTTTACCATAAAGGGTTTAGGATAATCATATTCCTACTTTCTGGCTTCTACCCTAAACCCTAAATCCGAAACCTGAAGCAGGGAAAGCACTGGGGACCTTTGAGCTTACCTGGACCCTAAAAGTATGTAGAATAAAGGCCTTTTATAGGTTTTGGGCTATTATTTTACCTACTTTGGGGGGGTTTAGGTCTAGGTCCCTGCTGAACCTCTTACTCTCCTGTTGAGACAGGTTATACTGCTCTAAGATTTCACTGATTCAGGATTTCGGTTAAGGGAATGGTCATTTACGCGCTTGTTCTGTTCGATGGGGGCATGTCGGTTCAAAAACTTGCGTGGCCCCGTTCCGTCTGCGGGTGTTGGGTTTTCGGCAGCCTCGGATTCTTGTCGTTGGTTCAGCCGTGCCGAGTTTTAGGTTTGGGGAGTTGTAGGTTTGACGCTTGCAGGGAGCGCGAGCTTCTCAGTCTCAGCCCACTACTTGGAAGGCCAGGGGCCTTAGTAAGTAGGTTATAAGTAGAGTTATAAGTACCCTAAATGGAGTTACCCCAATAAAAACCCTACTTATGAACGACTTACTAAGTCCCCTGCCCTTCCAAGTAGACGCTCTTAGTTACCATTCCGGCTTGGCCGGGGGTTACCATTAAGGCCTGAGGCCTTGTCCCGATAACCGGATGCAGAACAGACTTGCTAGGGCAACTGCTTGAGATCAAGGCTTCTCACCTAAATCCCGAGCGTGGGAAAAATCATGTCCCAACACCTATGAAAGACTATAACGCTGCATAGTTTTGGGGTCCAGCAGGGGTTTGGGGTCTTTGGATTTGACCTGGAATCCGGTTTTTGGCTCAAAGGACGTAGCCATGCGCCTTTCATTGGTTTAGGACTCGAGTCTACTGTAGGGCCTCTAGGGCGCCGGTTGCAGAGCTGTTGCTGCTCCCCTCTGAATGCACCAACCAACCTACCTAGACCCTGACCCTACTCCTACAGTAGAAGCCAGAAAGTTGGAACATTACCATCCACATACTCTGAAGGTATAGCATAGGGAATCCTAGCACTAATCATCCCTAATCGATGTTTCAACTCTCTGGGGTTCGCCAGATATTAGCCTCAGCAAGGCTTTCCAAGGATGGAGTCTATAGATCGCTGCGGATTTCTGAACGTAAGGGTCGGATTAATCAAGTAGTAGTGTCCCCTTGTAGTCCACCTCAAAGCCTTCTTCTAATTATTAATTACTAATATCAGGATTATGATCATGATTAACCTTGTTATTGTTATTATCATTGACCCTTGTTGTTAGGCTCACATAGGCCAGAACGTCTCCCAGAGGCAGCAGCGCCTCTGGCGACTTCTCAAAGATGGGGAGCTTGACGCCAGGGGCCCAAAGGCTTTCGGGAAAACACGGGCGCCTGCCCAGAGACTCCAAGATCCCTGAAGTAAGGAATGTTCCATACAAAGCATATTAGGGACCCTAATATGATTTAAGGTATTTCCTTTGATGGGGTGGCTGTGGCGCTTGCCAAGACTTGGGGAACCCAATTTCCAGATTCCTAACGTTGTAGGGCTGAAACATCGCTTTGCTTGAGGTCATCATGCTCAATCAAGACGAGGCAGCAGCTCTCTTCGGCGAGGACAGCCTTCTTCAGCACTGCCCAGATGTTGTGGGAGGGGCTGGGGCCGGAATAGCCGTAGCCGTTCTTCGGGCATCCTGCTCCCACAACCTCGGCCTTCGGCTTTCTAGGGCTTTGGGCCCAATGCCACGGCTTCGAAGAGCAGTTTTCTTCTGCTGCAGGCTAGCTTGGGGCATCCAGGATTTTCTTACGCTTTTCATTACCAACCAACAACAGGTTCGTACAGTGGGGGGGGGGGTCGGTCGCGACTCACGGTTTTTGCCAGGACATGTCCGCCAGCGACATTTGCGGGGCTTTGTCGGAGCACTGCGAACTCGCCGCCCTCTCCACGCAACAAGCAGAGAGAGGTCTACGGATATCACCCAGGTTTAGATCGAAAGCACAAGCCTCAAGAGTAGCTCGATGTCGAAGTACATAGGGAGAGGGAGGCAGGGAGGGAGGGAGGAAGCGAGAGAGAGAGCGAGATGAAGCCACTGAACTTTTTTCGCTCTGCAAGATGGTGCGAGATTTGGGGCCTCGCAGTCCTTTCCAAAACCTATAGTCTCCATTGTAGTTCCTTTTGGGGGGTTACCTTATGGGATCCTAATTAGACATTTGGTTAAACCAAAAAAAAGGAACTACAATGGAGACTATAGGAACGACAGACACTGTTGTGTTCACCTTTGCAAGTCATGCTCGGACCTTCTCAGTCTTGCGGCCATGCCGCCGAAGCCCGGTTTAGGGTTTAGGGGTTTAGGGTCTAGGGGTTTAGGGGTTTAGGGTTTCGGAAGCTAACGCGATGGACTTGTCTTCGGGGGCGGCACTTTATGCAGACTGATCCTAATTAGACCCTTCATGAAGAAGCAGGTTTCCTACAATCTAAGGCCCTAGGGATAGGATCCCTGCTTCGAAGTGAGGGAGAGAGGTATTATTCATCAGGGTTCTAGCTTATTTAATGTCTCAATGATTCTGACCTATCGGGTCACAACAGTGCCCCAAGGAAGTTGTAGACTTGCGAGCGTGAACCTCGAATCCCACGCCCTAGACAGATAACTCACACCCTGGACCCCTCCCTGGGAACTCACTCGTCTGAATCCAACCCCTAAAATCCCAATATCGTGCCTAACCACCCACAGAGTATTCAATCAGTTAGAGCACTTAAACAAGAAAGCATCATCAAGCACACGAAAACCCAACATACCGGATCAAACAGGAAAGAACACCCTAATTACTATAGGGCCCTTCATGGCTGCAATGGTATTCTTGGGCATGTTTTGATTAGTGTGATTTTTACTGGTGTTCTGAATTTTTATCTGCTACTATTAGTATCATGATCATTCTTCTGATCATTATTACTACTACGGTCTTATATTGCTGTATAACCCTATAAACCTTAGTATAAGTATATATAGCGATTGCACGGGAGATCCCCTAAACCCTAAACCCTAAACCCTAAACCCCTAAACCCTAAACCCTAAACCCTAAACCCTAACGACGCAGAGGTCCTCACCCTGGGCTCCGACGGCCTTTGGGTCGCCCGGGAGCGGGGGCCGCCGGAGTTTCAGCGAGTGGAGCCACTCGCAGAGGCTTTGGGCCTCCAGGGGCCAACTAAAACAGGGCCTTAGATAGGGTTGATGATATAAATCCTGCATTACCCAAAATGAGGAATATACCATAATTCCCATAGTCTAGGGTCCTTAAGGTCATGCAGGGTTTATATCATCAACCGTAGTTACCTATACTACCCTAAAATTTAATGCACGAGTTTTGGGACGCGCCTTAATGAAGGCACGACGGTCCGCAGACAAGACAAGACAAGATATACTACCCTAAACCATAAACCCTATCTTGGAGGTTCCCTTAGTATAATTATGGTAGAATGGGCCTGTGGGGACGAACTACAGGAATTTATAGGGTGGAGGGTTTCAGATCTATGCGCTTTAAATGTCAGCGTTTGTGGGTTTCGGATTTTAAAGAGGGGCTCTAGAAGCTTTTTGGGGGGCTATGTAGGTTACATAGGATTCTCGAGGCGTTGCGTGCTGAAGGGTGTATGAGTATGGCCATACGGCTATTGGGGTTTCTTTCCGTCCGATTAAGCAGCTAAGCAGGATTTGGGGCTGTACGGAGTGTACCTATAGTTCCACTGTAGTCATTTTTTGGAGGCTTACCTTATAGGATCCTACAGAGTATAGGATTTGTTGAACCACCGATTAACGACAATGGAGACTATAGGTAGAGGCTTCTGCCATAGATTAGCCCCCAAACGGCTTGTCGAAGGGCATCCAGGGTCTTAATTACCTTTGGTGAGTAGGGAACGGAGGAATGGGGTACAATTACAACTACTATTACTACCATTCTTCCATTCTCTACTAACCAAAGGTAAGGGGTTGAAGGTCAAGGGCCGGCAGGGGTGGCAGGTGGAGAAAGCACTTCTCAGACCGAGAGCAGACGATTGGCAGATAGACTGAAGCATACGCAGATAAAGGGAACTCCAGAAAGTTGGAATATGGATTAATGGTAGGATCCCCTATAATTTACCTTAAAGGGGTTACGATAATGATATTCCAACTTTCTGGCTTCTACTGTAGATTGAAGCATACCCTCAGGGAGAGCTTGACTGAAGAAGAAGAAGAAGAAGCAGAGGTATCATCATATCTACTTAAGGCGCTTTAACTGCGCGGCTCTGTCAAAGCCTTTCACCTGTCAGGTAGTGGATAGTACCGGGGCTGGGGACTTCTTTGCCGGCGGCTTTCTCGCCGCCTGGCTACGCCAAGAGACGCCGGGATGCAATTGGCGGGTCGTTTTCTATTGTTTTTGTTGGCGGGCGGGGGGGGGGGGGGGTCGACGCTGTGCTGCTTTTGGGTTTAGGAGTTTAAGGCCTTGGAGTTCAATAGGACTTCTGTGGTTAAGTTTCGTCGTTTTGGATGTGTGTTGCAGAATCAGAATCAGGCGTACCTTTCACAGCCATTATAACTGGCATGTGGCTTCAAGGAGCGAACTGAACAGAAGGCCTTGCAGTAGTGCGACCACATCACCGTCGGATCCTGTAGGGTATTTGAGCATGTGCTTGTTTTCGCGTGAAGGGTCTTGGCCGGGACTCGGGCACCGAGGAAAGTGAGGCAAGTTCATTCCGCGACACCCCGAGACTCCGAGTTGAGAGCTCCATGATTGAATGCAACCCTAAACCCTAAACCCTAAACCCTAAACCCTAAACCCTACGCGCAATCCCCTTAAAGCAGTGCCCAAGGCCCTTATAAACCCCCAACCCTGCTCCCTAAAGCCCCCAAAGCCCCTCTTCAAAAGCCTGGAGAGCCATGAAGCTTCGAGCTTTGGACCCAAAGACTCCAATATCCCCTAATTAGGGAAGATTCCTTAAATCATATTAGGGATCCTACTATAATTTGAGGTATATTCCTTTATTTATTTGATATTGGAGTCTCTGGGGACAGGACTTGGAACTGCACGCCTTGGGGCTACGCTTCCGCCACGGCAGTGCTCCAGGTCTTTGGCACAGACCTTGGCCCAGAAGGAGGGGCCCTGCCGAGTTCAACCTCGACCTCTACCCCTAAACCGTAGACCTTACAGAACATGACGCCCGAAGCCCTGAACCCTACACCCCAAACCCGAGAGACTTAAACCCTACAGTAAGCCCTAAAGCCCAAAGCAGGGTCTGAAATATTAGATTAGCACTTCCCTGTGTATCGGTGATACAATACATCCCGCTTAGTTTTGGTGGCCCTTCTCTGGCCGTTGTACCTTAGTTTAAGGCTGTAGGGCTTCGCTACGCGTGCTGTCAGCTTTTTTGAAGCTGCGACGGATAATCATCAGATTACGTGCTTGTGGTGGTACGTGTGTCTGAATGGTTGTAAGTAGAACGGCAACTGCGACTAGATATGCCTGACGGCTTCAAACCCTATAATCCCTAAATTCAGAAGACGTTTCACTTGGGCTTGAGAATTTCCGGTCTGGGTCTTCTGCGAGTGTGACCAAGGGTTTACGGGGTTTCTTGGTGTATGCAGGCCATGTAAGCTGTAGAGCGCATGTTGGATCGCGATAAAGGCAAGAATGCTACGAGCAGTCAGACCGCTTTGTCAAGTTTGAGCAGGCAAGGGTACAGTATCCATCTAAAGGGATCTCCAGAAAGTTGGAATATGGTTTCATGGTAGGATACCCTATAACTTACCATAGAAGGGTTAGGATAATCATATTCCAACTTTCTGGCTTTTACCTTACAGCCAGACTCCGGCCCGAGGCGTTTTGAACGCCGAGATCCGCAAGATGCGTAGGTAACCGAGATCAGACCTCCCAGTGGGCCCTTTTTCCCTTTTTGTAGTCCCAGGTTCCTTATAAAGTTACCCAATACCAAAAAGGGAGCCCTTTTTATTCCTAGGTTACTAGGCATCCTTGGAGATCAGACCTCCAATGAGCCCCAAACCGCGAGACCACGAATCCATGTTGGTCCTTATAGATGAAATGCCACGCCTGACAAGCTTGAACCACTACCCCAAGGGTCCAAAGGACCCAATAATTAGGTATTCGGTTTTAGGATATTAGTTTGGAGAGTTATGATTATTAGGTACTTGGACCCTTGGGGCTCCACTTTCGGCTGCAAGGATGGCATCGACTCCGCACGAGCTGCGCCGAAGCGACGGCAAAAAGCTTTCCGAGTGCCTTCATTCTGGGCTTCAAGAACCCTCCCCTCCACAAGCCTTTTCCTTTATTCCTTCAGGGGGTGCCATAAGGGGTTTCTCGGCGTTTTGGAGATTCCAATCTAGATGAGATGTGCGGCGAGTCTTTAAGGGTTGGACCAGGACTACGGGGATGAAAGGGTCAAGGATCGAGGGCGTCGTGTTTGGAGTTTGCGTGAGGGCCTGTGAAGGTTTAGGGTTTGAAGCTTAGGTTTCGGAGTAGTAGTCATAGTCATCCGAGTAAATTAAGAACTGTGCGACTTGCCATGGAAGTGTTCGTCTAAACACGAAGACCGGGCCCACAAGAACTGAACCCTACACCTATTAACAAACCCTTCGTGTTCCTTGATATAACTATGATGTAATATACCCCCAAATCGTATTCAGATTAAGTATTAAAGCCCCCAAATTAGCTTTAAGGCTGAACCACTAGCGCTACAGTCCTAGGGCCTAAACCCTGCAGCTCCAAGCTTGAAGCACATGAAGCTCCACTACTTAAAACCGACATACACAAAAGACCGAAGCCCTAAACTTTATCTAGAAACCTGGTAGACCCGCTGTCCTATAAAACCCTGGTCAAGGCTTCCGAGACCTTTTCAAGCCTTCTTTAGGCTCTTGGAAAAGCTTATGTGGACGCATGAACATGCATGAACCTCTTCGAAGCCCTTACAAACGTGTAAACTTCTGTAAGCCTGAATAAAATCCCGTAACAACCCTATGAGAAGGTCTATACACGCCTATAAGATGCTTAGCAATCCTATAAACCCTGGAAAAGCCGTTCTAAAACCCCGGCCACAGGCTTCCTTAAGCAGCCTCCCTCGTTCTTTGCCCACGAGGATGGCAAGAGCTTCCTCGAGATTGAGTTCGAGTTCAAGGACTCCTCCAAGGGTTTTCATATGGCAGTTTCCGAAAACATGGGACCCTATTCTAGTACCCTAAATAGTAGGACCCCAAAATAAGGTACCCCTCATTTTCAGAACCCTCCCCCCGCGATATTTGGCCAGTGCTCCAAATTAGCGTCGCTCTTTAGGTCCGCCAGAAAGTACTGCATCCTTATACAAGGAACCTGCAAGGAGTTCTGACTTAGAGAACTACCCCTTTGTTTCTATCAGGGTACTATGAGCGCTGTAATTTTGAAGTCACATAAGGGTTCGACAAAGATGCTACTGGAAGGGTACTATATGGGTGCTTTAAGGGTTGTACTACAAGGATTTTTACGAGTTGCAATATCAGGGTACCATTAAGCTTTGCAGAGCTGTAGCACTTCAGTGTTTGGGGTTAGATTTTTTCCCGCTGTCCCTTCGGTGTCATGCTGATGCCATGCACCACCACCACGACCATGATCGGCACCACCACCCCCGCCACCACCACCACCACCACCACCACCACCACGACCGGGACCCCTCCCGCTACCACTACCGCTACCACGACCTGCTACTGCTTCTACCATTGTTGCTACAACTATCACTACTGCAGAACAGGGGATGGTTCAGGTCCCGTTCATACTCGCTCTTCTGCCTAAGCGATCCATCATGCGTGCCCCCTTCAGAAAGGGAGGTATGCATACTACAATGTTCAGGAGTTCCGAAACTGCACTCTTCAGGAAGTCACCCTGAGCTTGAAAAAGCCACCCTGTTATTTACTATAAACCCTAATGGGCCCTAATGCTCCTGGACCCTCGTAGTGAGATCCCACACCCTGGCCCCCAAAGCCGAAACCCTCCCCCAGAAAGCCCAAGACCCGCTTACGAGTCTTAGGGAAGTTACCAGTTAATAGGGATAAAGGTTTCCTTCTCATGGTAGCTAAAATGGAGATCTATAGAACCTGTATTAAATGATAGGGGTCTCCTTGTTCTGGTAACTTAAACCCTGAGCCTTTAAAAAGCCACCCTAGTTTTTGCTATAAAGTTACCATAATAGGGGTCTATAGTAAATACATAATATGGTTGCCTTGTTATGGTAACTGAAATGGAGATTCATAGAACCTATAGGAAATAACAGGATTTCCTTATTATGGTAGCCTAAACCCTGAGCCTTTTAAAAGCCATCGAATCGCCAGGAAGGGACGCTGAGAGCGTCAAAGACTGTGGGTCAGCTTCCAGAGGCCGTAGTTTTAAATAAGGCAGAGGCAAGAGTTCCCCCAAGGGTCCAAAGGACCCAATAACTAGGATTTCGGTTTTAGGGTAGTAGTTATGTAGGTTAGGATTTTGGAGAGTATATGATTATTGGGTACTTGGACCCTTGAAAATAGTTTTAAATAAGGCAAAGGCAAGAGTTCCTCAAAGGGCTCCTTATACAGTAGAATCCGAAAAGTTGGATACCTAGTAGCCTCAATCCTTAAGAGTAATGTAGAGGGAATCCCAGCACTAGTTGGCCTCAATCCGGTTTCCAACTTTATGGGGTTTACTGTAGTTTTAAATAAGGGAGAGGCAAGGGTTCCTTAAATGGCTCCTTATAGGTTCTATGAGGGATCTATGGAGGTTTAGAGCTTTATAGTTTGGGCCGTAGTTTCAAACAAGCTTTGGGGTTTAGAGTGCGGGGTTTAGGGTTTAGGGTTAAGCTTTAGGGTTTAGAGTTCAGGGTTTCGGGGTTTGGAGGTTAATGGATTTGAGCCGTACAGGCTTTTGGAATTTTGACGCGGAGTTCTTGTTCATGGTTGTATATCGACAAGGCTTGAAAAGGGTCCATGCTAAACCTATCTCGGAAGTATCAAGGAAGGTACACTACAGGCAACAAGATTCATTTCATCGGATATAGGCTAAGCATATGTTTCGCCGGAGTTGGGTGGGCCTTAGGCTTCCAGTGGTTTCATGTTGCTTGGGCGTCCCTGCAAAAGCGAAACAGGTGTTTAGGCGTTGAGGGGTTGAGTCCTCAGCGGGCAGGCTTCGGAGTGTGAGAATGAAAAAGATCCCAGGCTCCACACCCCAAGCCGCATTCCCAAGATCCCTAGCCCGTGACCTCAACATCTATAGAAACTCAACCGGTGGCTGCAACAGCCCGAACTCAAAGCTTCGAAGAGTGTGCACTGGGTAGGGTTGAAGCTCTAGTTCGTAATTTCGCAGGGGCTTCCCAGGGCTTACCTATAGTCTCCATTGTAGTTCCTTTTTGGGGCTACCTTGTAGGATCCTACTTATATATTTGGTTAAACCAAAAAAAGGAACTACAATGGAGACTATAGGTGGAGTTTAGGATTGCGGGATGCTTCTTTGAACCCTGAGCCCGTGAACCCATCTTGTCGCTCGCTGAAGATCTATCACGAAATTGGACGATATATTACGGTGAGCGGATATAGAGTTAATATAGAGCTCCTCTGGACTTGTGGGGAGAGTTTGCTTGGAGCCTTCGTTGTAGATGGATCAGCCGTAACAGATCTACGACCCCGAGCTGAATGAGCGGGTGGCAGTTACTCACTTCCCTACTTCAGGGATCATGGGATTTAGTAAGTAGATTATAATTGGGGTTATAAGTCCCCTAAGTGGGGTTATCCTAATTAATTATAACCTACTTATAACCTTACTTACTAAGTCCCATGAGCCTTCAAGTAGCAAGGCGGTGGGAGCGGCGGGTAGGGCCGGCCTTTACCAGGAGCTTGGACTTGCCCGAGGCCGGTCAGGTTCCAAGACCAGCTCGACGCCCACGCCACCCTGGCTTATGTGGAGAGTGTCCTCGTTGAGCTTCCTTCGAGAGGACTTTTCAAAACGCTCTGGAGACCTCTGCCACGGTTGATGATGCGAACGAGGAGCTTATCGCAAAGGTCCTTGAGAGAAGGACCGATGTGGGTGGGCACGCTGTGCTTTAAAATTGAGGCTCAGGCAGGTAACTGGACCGCGCGAAGGTGTGTCTGTAACTTCCAAAAAAACATGTGAAATCTGTTTAAGCTCGCACCCCAAATCCAAAACCATGACCCCTAAAATCCAGGTTTTGGGCACCTGAATTCGATACGTTCGATCACACCAGGTGTTGAGCCCTCCATAACCCCATGCGTCTAGGGTAACTTTTCAGGCTGTTGCAGCTGCAGTGTCGGCAGAGATCGAGCGGGTCGGGGGCACCGCAAACCGGGTCAGAGATTTGTGTCTGGTTATGAGAGCTTGCTGGAGTCTTGTCGGCTTCTAGTGGGGCTTTACGACGGTTTTGTAGAGTTTTAGGTGGGAGTCGGCTTTCAGGGTTAGATGTTAGGGCATGTTGTGTTTTTGTCTGCTTCGTTTTTCGATTTGTTGATCGGCGCAGGTACTTTGTGTGGGTCTTGAGGTTTGGGTTGTGTTTTTGGTGTAGGATTTCTTGTTAGATCTTGGGGCTCAGGGTGCTTGTCGGGTTTGGGGTTTGGGGTCCTGGTTTGTTTCTGGTTTTGTGTAGGTTCAGTGACCCAGAGGGTCCATATACACTACCATTATGGAATTAGGTCCCCTAGAACCATAATGAGGATGGTCTTTGGGGACCTGATTCCATAATAGTAGTGTATATGGACCCTCTGGGTGATTTTGCCATTGTCATTTACTCCACGCCTGCTCCACGGGGTCCGGAATTGAACGCTATACAGAGTTGGGCCGCTGTTGTTGCGGTAGGAGACTGCTGTTCTTTGAGCACTGAAGAATGCCTGGTTTGAGCAGTAGACATTGTGCCGGGAGTTGTCTTTGATTTTGCCTGATGAGCGAACTCCAGTTGAATAGACGGAAACAATGAGTACACCATACCTTCCGTACACTCGGTTCCCTCAGGCGATGCTGGCGTTTGTTCAGCAGCATTACAGGAGCATCAATATCAGTCTCTTTGTAGTGTCGTCAGGGCGCAATGTACATCAAATCCTGCTTGCAACGCTTGAGGCGCTGCTACCCAGCCTGCAAGCCGAAACACGTGTTTAAGCCGACACTCAACACCCCGAAACCCTAAGGCCTAACGCAGTAACCCTTAAACCGCCGTCGCAACGCAAGGACCCACTTCTAAGGCCCAAAATATAGATTCCTGTAAACCCTGTATCAGGCGCTAAAGGCCCTAAGTTTTATTAAAGAAATGAGTATGACCCCTCTACCATACTCCACCCAGAATGAACCTTAATTAGTTTCGGTATTGAAATTCTTGCCTGCTACCGGTCAGCAAACAATCATACATACCAGCCCTAAACTCTAAGCCCGAAACCAAAAAGCAAATCCTGAACCTTAAACCCTCAAACAAAATCCTAAACCGACAAAACCCTACAACAAAATCCTGAACACACCTTAAACCCTTATTTAAAAGAAGTCTGAAACCCCACACCCGTCCTAACCCCCTAAGCCCTAAACCTTATAAACCCTAAACCCTAAACCCTAAACCAGCTTGAAAAGGTCGAAATCTTCGGCCTCAAGGCAGCCCTCACTGCGGCGGAAGCTACTCAGGACTCTGGGAGGCTTCGAAAGGTGGGATGCGGGGTTCAGGGTTTAGGGTTTAGGGTTCAGGGTTTAGGGTTTAGGGTTCAGGGTTTAGGGTTCAGGGTTTGGGGTTTAGGGTTGAGGGTTTAGGGATCCCTGATAATATGAGAACACAAAATTGGGAATATCCCAGCCCCTTTCATCCCACCTTTGGAGCCCTTGGAGGACGGCAAGGTCTCGGCGCTGCCGAAACCCGTCTCGTTGGGGCCTCGGCGTTTGATTCGGGGTTTGGGTCCATGAGGCACCATGGGGGTTACCTGCGACTATCAGCGCTACTATTTGAGGGTGTCGCCCGGAGTTTCGGGTTTTTGTGTTGAGTTGTTGTTTTCAAGCTTTGGGGCTCAGGGCCTGGAAGGCTTAGGATTGTTGCTTCGCTGTGGGTTTGGAGCTCTCTCGTTTAGGATTATGATAAACGGGTTCCTCTAGTTTTAAGTACAGGGGCAGAGGGTGTTAAGTACTGTCGCGTTGGAGGTGTGGGGTCTAGGTCTAGGGGTTTAAGGTAATTATAATGTTTCGGCTTGAGTGAGGCTTTAGGGTGCAGGGGTTTCAGATTTTAGGGTTTACGGCTTAAGTTTATCTTAGCATCCAAAAGTTTGGAGGGGTTTAGGGCGTTGGTGCCTCGGAACAGGCTGCAAGTTAGTGTCGGGATACGGGGATGCTTCATTGCCAACTCGTGAGGCCGGGAAAGGCAGATTTTGCCGTGAGGATTTGGGAATTCTCGTAGTGCAGGTTCAGCAGGGTGATCATTGTGCCGTATTTGAGTTCATATCTTTTCTTACCGGCCAAAGTGCTGATGTCTGGACCTGCTAGAACTTGCCCTACGCCCTTGCCCTCGTCTGGGTGTAACAGACTGCTGTGTCCAGACTTGCGTCGCTCTCTCTGAACGCCCGTCATCATTATCATCACCATCAGCATTCTTACATTTCCGATCCTTAAGGAAGAAAGTTCTCAGCTAAGTGTCGACCGTTATGGCCATGGGGAAGCATTTACATGCAAGCATTGCTAGGTAACTACGACAAGACAAGCCTCATCATGCTTATGAGCATAGTGATCTTGCAGCGGCGGCAGTGGTGTTTCCAGCTTCGTTCGCTTCGTATCTGAGGCGAGCGCTGTCAGGAGACGGCTCTGCTTCACTTCATGCAGCGATGCTCAAGGTCCGCACGACACCCTGGAGGGGTTGAGAGGTGAAGAGTTGGAAACCTTTGTTTCTGTTGTGCCACTGGTGCTGCTGTCGCTGTGTAGCCGGCACCTTCATGTTCCTTGGACACCGTCCGTCCCAAGTATAACTTTTCTTTTGTTTTCTTGTGCATCTTCCAGTGTCGGTCGCACCTTCAGCTTCGCAGTCAGGGAACGTCCATGTCCTTGAACATCATGCAAAGCACAACGCCCAATCTGAACTTCCGGTGCTGCTGCATGTGCTTGACAGGTGAAGCCGCGCATTGACATGCGCCAGGCTTGGTCCATCTCCGTCAAATGAACCACTGAGCATTTCCCGACTACGGGGCGAATGTATGAAGCAAAAAGGCGATTTAGGGTTGCTGCTTCACGAAAGTGCAAGTCTAGGTGGCAATTCGGTAAGCTTTTCAATTTCCTTATGGTTCCTCTAGACGTACCTATTCATATATACTTTTCAGGGCCCCAAAACTACAACCCAGAAGTTGTCTTGACGGGGATCGGAGGTCGGGTCAATTTTGGCCAGAGAAGAGATGCGACATTCTCGGTTGCCAAGCCGTAATGGCACAAAGTGCCAAAGCACCCCCAAAGGCACTACAAAGTGCTGCAGAGGTCAGGGCTAGCAACGAGTGAACCAAAGACCACGTAGAAGAATCGGGCTGAGCTTCGATTGGGCAAGGCCGACAAGCACACATCTGTGCAGCAGATGACCAAAAAATACATATCTCTTTACTTCACAAACACATGAGACATTTTTCACACACACGCACACACACATATATATATATATACATATATATATGTATATATATACATATGTAACATATGTATGTATGTTTGTTTGTTTGTTTGTATGTATGTATGTATGTATGCATGTGTGTATGTATGTATGTATGTATACATATACATACATGCGTATACATATAAATACAATCATATCTGGATTTATTGAAACCGTGGTTTCGACCCCACATCGAAGTCATCATTCCTTGCAGGGCCAGTAACAGATTGAATCCAGTGTCACTGTGATTTCAACAAGACGATCAGTTTGGCCCCTGCGTTTTCCCGAACATGAGGAGGGGTCAAGATCAAACCATTGAGAAGATTAGCATGGCCCCTGCCTGCTCCAAGATGTCAGTGTCATATGTCAAAAAGCATGGCCCGAGTGGTCGTCTTCCACGTCCGTGCCAAGGCGCGGCGTGGGCAGGGTTGTGTTTAACCGTAAACCTTTAGACACCAAACCATTAAACTAAACCTTTTACCTGTGGCTTGGCAACGTAGAGGGAAATACCCTTTATACTTCTTAACTCTATAGCCCTTGAACCCTTAACAAACCCCGAACCTTAAGTCCTTGAACCCAACGCCCCAAACCACCACCCTGTCACGAGCCACGCCCTCAGAGTGCCCTTGGGGGTTAGGGGTTTTTGCGTTAAGAGCTCTATCTCCTGCGACAGCCTACAGCTGTAGCTTGCTACGATCTTCGGATCGTTGCTACCACAGTCTTCGGGCTGGCGTGCCACAGTCTTCGGGTTGTGGCTGCCACAGCCTTCGGGCTGTGGCTGCTACGATCTTCGGATCGTAGCCGCCGCAGTTTTCGGGCTGCGGGGCGATCTTCGGAGCGTACCTGCCGCAGTCTTCGGGCTGCGACGCCACAGCCTTCGGGCTGTGGCTTCTACGATCTTCGGATCGTAGCTGCCGGCTGCGGCGCCACAGCCATCGGGCTGTGCCTGCTACGATCTTCGGGTCGTAGCTGCCGCAGTTTTCGGCTGCGGCGCCACAGCCTTCGGGCTGTGGCTGCCACGATCTTCGGATCGTAGCTGCCTGAATTTTTCGGGTTGCGGCGATCTTCGGATCGTAGCTGCCGCAGTTTTCGGGCTGCGGCGATCTTCGGAGCGTAGCTGCCGAAGTCTTCGGGCTGCGGCGCCACAGCCTTCGGGCTGTCGCTGCTACGATCTTCGGATCGTAGCTGCCGCGGCGCCACAGCCTTCGGAATGCATATATATATATATATATATATATATATATATACACGTGTTTTTCAATTAATGTTTATATGTGCTCATATATGCATCTTCAAGATACATACACGCGCACATGCAAGTTTGGCTATATAGGCATATATATATATATATACAGATATAGGTATAGACATAGATTTTGTGAATATGCAGAGACAGGTATAAGTATAGATTAAGTAAGTACGTATGTATGTATGAATGCTGCGTGTATGTACATAACAGTGTATGTGTATGTATACGTATACATATATATATATATATATACACAGACATACACTGCAACAGCCGGGAGTTGCTGTAACAGCTTTGCACCGTCGCCCGGCTCACACCGGAGGCGCTGGTAGGGAGGAGGCCAAGAGGCCGCGCCGTAGAGTCCGAGGAAGCAGACCCACTTTTAGCGGTTAGGGGTTGAAGGGTTTAGGATTTAGGGGTTTCAGGGTTTAGAGTTTAGGGTTTAGGGTTCAGGGTTTAGGGGTGTAATGGTTCAGGGTGTCGGATTAGGCTTAGGGGTATTATGACTGAGAGTTTGAGAAGACTCAATACATGGTAATACCTGGTAATGTTATGCCTTAGGACTCATGACTACAAGTGTAGTGCAACCACCCGAAATCCTAAAACAAGTCCCTGGTTATAGCGAAGGGTGGCTATAGTGAGTATGCGGGCGCATTACAAGGGACTCGTGATAAGGGCTATTTTCAGCGTTACGATAAGGTTTGTAGTGCAGTGATCGGGGGCTTGGGGTGTGGGGTTTGAGGCTTCAGGGTTTGGAGTTGGAGCCTGGGATTTAGTTTTGGGATATGCTGAGCTCTAAAGCCTCCGCTAAACTCTGTAAACGCTATAGACGTTAGCTGGGATTCCATAGGGTTTTAGGGTCCGGTCAATCATTTAGGGTTTGCTATAGAGTCCTAAATAACTATCTATACTATTTTTTTGGGGGCCCTGATTATAAGTATAGTATAATATCCCCCCCAAACCCTATTCTGATTATTGAGGCCCCTTTATTATATTACCCTTATAGATCCCTTGTAGACCCCTTTGAAAGGAATCCTTTAGAGGGACCCTATTCTAATTATTAAGGCCCCTACATTAAGGAACTGAGCTTTCTGCAGAAGGGTCTCAGGCGCGCGACCTTATGCCGCCTCCACCAGTTGATGGTTACAGCTGCGGAGAAAACATGGTCTAGGGGTTCAGGGTTTAAGGTTCAGGGTTTTGAGGTCTAGAGTTTAGAGTTTGTGGGGTTTGGGGTTCAGTGCAGTCGTACTCTGAAGCAAGAATCTACCGCTGTCATTTTCTGAGACAGAGGGGTCATGGCCCCAGCTTTCTTATGGCACTCTGCTGTTATAGAACTGCAATCGTTCAGGCATCAGATTTGGGCTTCAGTTTGGGATTCAGGGTTTGCGGGGCCTTTGGGTGTGGGGCTTCAAGGGGTCCTGTAAAGGAACCCCTCAGGTCGGAAAGTTTGGATTCCTGCATTCGCAACTTGGGGGTTTGGGGTTTAGGGGTTTAGGAGTTACCTATAGTCTCCATTGTAGTTCCTTTTTGGGGTTACCTTGTAGGATCCTAACTATATATTTGGTTAAACCAAAAAAAGGAACTACAATGGAGACTATAGGTAGCTTCAGGGTTCGGGCGGGTTCCAACTGCCCACAGGAATTTAGGGTTTTGGGGTCATCAGGTTCTGTGACTGTGGTTATAAGTACATTAATTGGGGTTATAAGTAGTTATAAGTAGAGTTACCCTAACTATAACCCTAGTTACTAAGTCCCATGATCCTTTAAGTATTTGTGTAGGGCCTCCGGGTCTGAGATCTTGGGGGTGCTGCAGTGTATCCTTTCCCGGTGTTAGCATACCGCCGCTGTCAGTCGCAGTATCTATGCAGCCCGTCATAGTGTAACCTCAAAGATGCATTGCTTTCTAATCTGCTCGTCCGTCGCAGGGCCTGTAAGCACCGACATGTTGCTTCGTCATGCTTGAAAAGCGCGAAATCTGCCCATCCATAGGTGCACGAAGGAGTATTGGGATCTGCGAAATGATGCGGCTCAGAATTCTAAATTCTTCGAGGGAGGGCTACCTGCCACCGGGGATGCTGCAGACTTCTCGGCTCCTCTTGCTTCTGCAAGTAGTCATGGTGGTTAGAACCAGCGTATACGTGCAGCATGGTGCTTCGCCATGACTCCTGAGAATGAGAGGCTGGTTTCTTTGGTTTTGGGAAGCAGCGCGGCCGCATGGCCGCACAAGGCGGATATTGAGGCTCTGTCCAGTGTGAAGACCTTCGTGTATGACCTGCCAGCACCTTTTCACACAGAAACTCTGAAAGCTCTGAAAATACAAGCTGCTGCACAAGGGTCAGACTGCAATTTTGGCCTGACATTGTGCAACTCGCACTGGACGAGGAGCTTCACGCACAAACATATCTACGCATCAGAAGTTGTGTTTCTACAGAAGTTGCTCCGGGCAGTTCCGCTGACTGAAGATCCCTCGGAGGCAGATCTCTTCGTTGTGCCATGGCTGGTGAGGTCGCACTGTGCAGTCCGAGAGGTCTGGGACAGATGCGTCTTGTCAGAAGATTGAGCGGGTGTAGGTTACAAGAAGGATACCTCACAGCTTCGAGTAGTATAACTTACTTTTATATGTAGATCCCTGTGCCTGTATCTTGGGGTCTTGGAGTCATGACCTAAACCCTGAAGCTTAAGCTCCAAAGCTCGAAACTGCGAACCCTAAACCCCTAATGCCCTATATACCCTAAGCCGACCTAAGCCCTAAAATTAAGAAGAGGCATCATTACCGAGCTGGCTGGTCTGCTCTGGCACTACCTGCCTCACTTCAACGAGTCCACTCGTGGAAGACACAGGGTGGGAACGCATTTGCAAACGATGCCGCCATTATTGTCAAGGGTGTGCGTAGGGTTTAGGCTTTACCCATAGGCCCCAAAGTACTTCCTTTTTGGGTTCATCTTATAGGATTCTACATAAGAACCCCCAAAAGGAACTACGATGGGGCCTAGGGGTAGAGTTGGTTTCATAAGACTCCTTTGAGACTCTGTAAGAACCTGTAACTGTACTATGCCAGCTTGTGCCCCGAACCGGAAACCCTGAACTCAAGAACCCCAGGACATCTTTTCTTTGCGACGGGCGGCCCACCGAACCTCCCGATGGATGTGCAGGCTCAGCCTCTTCAGGTGCGGGGCGGGGGAACTTTGAGGGTTCACCCCAAGGGTCCAAGTATTGGGTCCTTTGGACTTGGGTTCAGGGTTCTCTGCAGTTACTACACGGAAAACCCCTTAAAAACGCCACACCCAAAAGGCCATCCCTAACGATTGCAGTTGTCTCTTGAGCATTCTGTTATCCCAAGGGTCCAAGTACCTAGTTATCATATACTGTCCAAAATCCTAGCCTACATAACTACTATCCTAAAGACGAGTACGCAATTATTGGGTCCTTTGGACCCTTGGGGTCAGGGTTGTTAAGTTTAGGCTGTAGGGTTTAGGTGTAGGGTTGCAGGGCTGGCGTCGAGTGTTTAAGTTTCTGGGTTTGTAGAGATTTAAGCTTGTTAAATTTGTGGCCTTCCGGTATTTGTGCTTGCTTGAGGCTGCTGGTTTTGACGAACTGCTGGAAGAGATCAGGATTCCAAAACACGGACCCTAAACCCTGGCGCCCCGACAAGAACGTAAACCCCAAGAACACATCTAAACCCCAAGAAAAAATCCCGCCCCCCCCCCCCCCCCCCGAACCACGCCTGAAGCTTAAGCCAAAGGAAGTGCGACATAAAGGACCCTATCATCACTAAAGCCTTGCAAAAAACACTATAAACCTTTGAAGGCTCCTTCTTACGAACTCTTATAGATAGATCCTGCTATTTGCAGATAAACCTCGTAAGGCGTGTAGACCCGTTTTATAAACGCTAAACCCTGAGAAGGTTCATAGACCCCTTTTATACAACCCTTGCAGGTCACTCTCGGCCCGGACTATTTCCCACCAGGCCGGCCCCATTTCGTGTCTGGACGGATTCTGGCACCCTGGTCGCTGAGATAGTAGAGTTGATGCTTTCTTGCACTTAGGCTTCAGGGCTTAGGAGCTTCTGTTGAGATGGGGTCTTAGTAAGGGTTTAGGAGCTTTTGGGGATTAGGGTTTGAATTTGGGCCCCGGGATGACTGGTGCTAGGATTCCGCTCTACTTTACCTTTATTAATGCCATGAGGATAATCATGTTCCAACTTTCTGGCATTTGTGGAACAGGACTTCGGGTTTAGGGGCTTTTGGCGGATTAGGGTGCGAGGGATGGCTATCATAACTTGGGCACGGCCCCCACTCAGTAATAGTTGAATAAGTTGAATAATATTCATAGTATAGATATAGTAGGACCGTAATAGTAGCCCTGTTATGGACTCTTACTGTATGGGGGCCGTACCTAAATCCTAACAGTGGTCACGGAACTTTCGGGTTTGTCAACAGGCCTTTCTTAGTAGCTGAGTGGATACACTGTGAATTTTTTTGGGATAATATTGGCCACTATAAAACCAAAAGTGCACACGTTTTTTCGGGGGGGGGGGCTTATGAGCTCAGCAGCTAAGCTTTCATGCTGTCAAACCTTGTTCTCCTTTTCATGAACTCCTTCAGCTGAGGTGCCATATCTGAGCAACTAGGTGGCAATTTGGGAAACTTTTTAACTTCCCTTGTGGTTCCTATAGAGGTGCCTATTCATAAATACTTTTCAGAGCCCAAAAACTACAACCCAGGCAATGACCCCTTCCTTCAACCGGGAGCCTGGCAATCCTGGAAGAAGATGAAGGGGATGCGGAAGGATACCTGGCAACAACCATGGTCTCCAGGTCATTATAATATAAGGACCACAAAATATCATAAGAGCCCAGCCAACACCCCAGGCTCTGTAATGAAACGCCTACATAAATCCCAGGGTTTCCCTACCAAAAGCCTCCGTCAGCGCATCCTCCGCAGCCCTTACGCACCTGAAGACAAGCAACTAATATTAGAGGCTTAAATAATTACCCATACCATTTTGGGGGTCCCTTAGTAGAAATATAGTATACTGTGCCCCAAAGCCCGCTAGTCTAAATATTGAAGCCCCTGTATTACGAACACCCAAAAGCCCCCTTGAAGCCCGGGGCCCTGCATTTCAGAGGACATTTGGGTATGTTTGGCATTCTCGCTTCAGAACATCGCGCGGCACGTGCTACCTGGCACGGATTTTATGTGCAGTTTTTTTTCATCCTCGGCACTCAGGCATAATTTTGTACGATTTACTCGGATAAAAATCCTAGGGATATTTTACCGATTGTTTACTATGGTTCTAAGGGCGCTTAAGATCTTGGGAGACCTTACGCAATAAGCTGAAAGCTCTCCGTTGGGGTTTAGGGTTTAGGGTTTAAGTGGTTCACGTCTAGAGTTACTCTAGACGTGAATCACTTAAACCCTAAACCCAAAACACTAAACTCCAACGGAGAGCTTGAGTTGAGAAGTCTGAGCTGAAAAAGGTCTGGCCCCTGGCCCCGGTATTTGTGATTTTCCGGTTTAGGGTTTAGGGTTTAGGGTTTGAGGCCCCCATAAAGCTAAGGGTATAGAAGGCCAAGCACAAGATCTTTTCATCTAAAGGGGACTCCAGAAAGTTGGAATATGGTTTCAGGGTAGGATACCTTATAATTTACCATAGGAGGGTTAGGATAATCATATTCCAACTTTCTGGCTTTTACCTTAAGGGTATAGAAGGCCAAGCACAAGATCTTTTCATCTAGGGTATGGGAGTGCCGTGCCTGAGGGTATTTAAAGAAGAGGGTGGATCTGTAGAAGAACACCTGAGGGCCTCAAGGTCTGGGGTGTGGAAGCTGCCAGAACAAGACACGAGAGCTGAAGATACAGAGAGCCTTAGAATTGAAAGCCAGAAAGTTGGAATATGATTGTCCTAAACCCTTTATGGTAAATTATAGGGTATCCTACCCTGAAACCATATTCCAACTTTCTGGAGTTCCCTTTAGAATTGAAAGCTTGTGTCTTAAACCCTGGGCCGAGGGTTCAGTTCGGGGTTCAGGTTCAGGGTGATGTTTTTAACCCCCCTCCCCTCATTTGTCGTACTGAGGCTATTGGATTCCTTCAAGGCTGCCACCGAAGGCAATGGGACTCTGGCATGGCCTGGACCTATCCGAATTATCGGGCGCGGGGTTGCGAAAGGTCGTCGATGCCATGTCGCGTCCCCAACACCGGAAGCCTAGCTTCACTACAGCTTGGAAGCAAGATTCCGTTTTGAACGACCGTTAAGCCCCAAAACCTAAACCATTGTGTCGAAACACATTCGAGCAGAAGGGTGAGGTGGCACCGGACCTTCAGGTACTGGATTTTGATGCTAGCGGCCTGTCGCGTTTAATATATAGACCTTAATCATTACCTACACTATTTTGGGGGGTTCCTTATTATAGCTATAGTATACTGGGCCCCAAAAGCCTATTTCAAGGCCCCTACATTATCTGATTGGGGCTTGCACTTCACGGATCCGTTGTGTCGTCTGGAAAAGTTTCGGGGCTCCAGCTGGCAGCAGTGAAAACAAAATCAGAGCGGACTCGACGATGTAGAAAGTTGCCGCGCAGAAATCCTACTTTGAGGTTGACGGATAGTTCTCAGAAGCGTTATAAGTAGGACACCCATTGGGGGTATAACCCCACTTACACCTACCCTTGAACCTCCAAGTAGACCCTAAACCCTATACCCTTATAGAATCCCTATAGATCTCTTTAAAGGGACCCTTAAAGGAACCCTTATAACTACCCATGAACCACGAACTGACAAGGAAGTCTATCCTGGAGGGTTCGCCACACACGAGAGACTAAAGAACCGGATTTGTACCAAGAAGGGAGTTTCCGAAAATTAGGGATACCTTATTTTGGGGTCCTATAAATTAGGATCCTACTATTTATAGGGTACTATACTAGGGTCCCCTATTTTCGGAAACTCCCATATGGGTGGTTGTCAAAATTGGGGTCCCTTTCTGGGTACCCTAAACACTAGGTGCCGTATCATAACAGGGACCGTAATTTTGACAACCACTCATGTGAGTACCAAAGCTAGGGGTTTGGAGTTGGGTTAGCCCCCATACGAAATGGTAAACCCAGAACCCGAAATCTTGCCCAGCCAGAAGACCCGGTGTTGCATGGACGATGTGTTCGAACACTTTGTCAGCCTTGGGGTCATCAGAGACATGAAGCTTAGAATCGGCCCCCACACTGTAATAGTGGTATAATAGGAATATAATGGGGCTCTCATATTATCCTTATAGTCCTTATAGTCACTATTACAGGGTGGGGGCAGCTTCTAACATGAAGCAGACACTGAAGCGAAGCCTGTCATTGAGCCACACACAGTTCATAGTTGTTGATCATGCCTGGGCCCCCAAAAGTATGTAAAGTCATGCCCTTTCATAGGTGTTGGGCGCGTAGTTTACCTACTTTGAGGGGACTCTAGGTATAATGCTTACTTTCGGAGGGGCAGGAAATCAAGACCGTAGTGCTTCACATTCTGCAATTATATACCTGCTTGCTGAGTCCCTGAGAAGGTTCAACAGGAAGATGACTGCCGTCGGCACTCCGACGGACGAGACAACCCCCCGCGAGCTGCTGAAGTTGTTGTCGAGATCGCGATTCTGCGTTGTGCCACCGGCAGACACGTCGAGCATTGGAAAACGATTTTATGATGCGGTTCTGACTGAGTGCATTCCCGTGGTTATTGCATTTCCAACAAAGTACGGATTGGGAAAATCCTGGTGGACTTTCGACGGTACTCCAGTGGAATGGAGTCTGCCCTTCGCGCAACAAGGCTTGGATTACGCGAAGCTTGCCATTGAAATACCCGTGGAAGAGTTGCGACGGGGAAATGCCGTAGCATACCTCGCTGCAGTTTCGGAGGCTGTCGTTGCGAAACGGCTCGCATACCTTCGGGCGGTCCGCAATCATTTAATCTTTGATTACAGTGGGGAAGCCATAGATGCTTTCTCCTTGGCGGTGCGTCAGCTGCTGTCCCTGCTGCCCACTGCAAGAGCAGCTTGTTTTAGTCAGCAAGTTTTGTTTTTGTGACGTTTGTGTACTGCTAAATGCCAAAGACAATAACTAATTAGTTAAGTTCACACATTCCCAAATGCTAGACTTCAAATTCAACCCTGAACACCACATCACCAGCCCCCGGCCCCCACCTCTTCCACGAACACTGGACACCTATAGTTTCCACTGTACTGTTAAAATTCGTAAGGCCCGTATAACATAGCACCCTTATAGATCCCTTGTAGTAACCCTTATAGTGAGCCTTATACTCAGCCTTATTATGTCCCTTAAAGACAGCAAGGCAGCGCCGGTGAGATGTTTGGACCTCCCGAGGCTTGACGACACCCCTTGGAGCAGAGAGGAGCCGCCGCAACATGGGGTCTTGCAGGGCTTAACTACGGCTGATGATATTTTGAATCCTGCATTACCTGTAATTAATAAGGAATATAATGGGATATACTCTAACTCCCATAGTTTAGGGTCCTCAAGGCAATGCAGGATTTATATCATCAACCATAAGACCTCAGAAGGTACGCGCGACGCTCAAACACAAAAGGGTTTAGGGTTATGCATCAGTGGACCCCTTGCCTATTCTCGTGGGTTTTCCATAGATATCGAGACATGGCAGCACCACACCCCCAATTCCACATAAGCTTACAAGCCAATCCCGTTGCTGTAGAGTCAACCCAAAACCCCGAATTAGGCAGGCCCTAAACCCTATACCTATACCCTGAACCCTACACTCTAAACCCTAAACCTTATGCCCTTATTGACCTCAAAGTATAAAGATCTTACTGCGACAAGGTTAGACGTCGGACGTCGGTTCCGGGATGAGACGTTAGGTTTAAGCCTTTATGGTTTTGTAGTGTACCCCAGAAGGTGGGAACATGGATTTAGGATGATTAGTGCGGGGATTCCCTCTACTTTGCCTTAAAGGTATTGGGATAATGCTGTTCCAACTTTACGGCTTCTACTGTAGGGTTTTCGGAGTCTACAGTTTACAGTTTTTGGATTCAGGGTTAAGGGTTCAAGGGATTAGGGTTTTTGGGTTCAGGGTTAGAGTTCAAGGGTGGGTTGACAGTTTCAGGATTCAAGGGTTCCGGGCTTGGGGATTTGGTTTTAGAGTTAAGGGTTCAAGGGTTCATGGTTGAGGGTTTCTGGTTCGAGGGTTACGGTTAAAGGTTCAAGGATTCAGGATTAAGGGCGTAAGGTTTGGGGCTTTGACTGCGGTGGGAAATTCCTCGTCTATATAACCCGACCGCGAAGATTCTTCGCAAACCAAATCTCAGCCCTTTGAGCTTTAACCCTACCTTGGTCCCAAGACTATGTAGAAAAGTAGCCTTTTGGATTTCAAATGTGTTGGGCCACTAATTTACCTATTCTTGAGGGTTTAGGCAACTACCGTCTGTGTTGCAGTTCAGCTTTTGGTTAGTCATGCTTAGGGTTAATATGTTTGGGGTTAATGGGGCCTAAACAATTACCACTACTGTTTTGTGGGTTCCTTTTTACATTTATAGTTTAATGGCCCCCAAACCATATTCTAATCAGTTATTGCGGCCCCTACGGTTGATGATATGAATCCTGAGTTACCCAGAATAAGTAAGATACCACGATTCCCATAGTTTAGGGTCCTTAAGGTAATGCAGGGTGTATATCATCAACAGTATGTTAGGATCCTTTTGCAGAAAACACTGTACATGCTGTCATGGCTACTGGAAATCCTTAGCAAGTCACTTTGGAGTCGGTCTGCTCGAACCATCTTGGAGCCCTTCCGGGGGGGCCCTTAGACCCTCAACCCCTAGATTTTTCTCATAAGCCTTATGTAAACCCTAATTACAACCTTAAGCCACCATTTTGTACACGACCCTGAAATTTACACCCTAAACCCTGAGCCTTGACCCCTCAACTCAAAACTTTAAAGCCTTAAATACTACACCCTAAGCCTTAAACCCTGAACCCTAAAGACTTAAACTCTAAACCCTAAGCCCCAAGACAAGCTTTAAACCACTATATAAAGAGCCCTGAAAGGAGAAGATGTGGATCGATGGCGTCAACCGTCAAGCCTGGGGCATTGTCGAATGTTATTTTGTAGCCGGCTCCTTTCCTGCATGGGGGAGTCTTTTGGGGGTTCCTTTACAGGGGTCTATAAGCGCTACTATAAGGGCTAATACGAGGATACGGAAAGTATAATGGGCTCCTTTCTTGTATTGGGGGGTGGGGTCTTCCGAGAACTGTAAAGGAAGAATCATACGAGTTCAGGGATTGGGGCTTTGGGGTTTTGTTTAGGGTGTCGCCGGCTCCTCCCCTCCATTGGGGGGGAGTCTCTTCAGAACTATAATATGAGGCCTTATTACCTGTACTACCTGTACTATTTTTGTGTTTCCTTGTAACTTAAGTATAATGCCTCCATTGGGTCTATGTAGAAATAGAAACGACTACTGCAAAAGGAATCATTCGGATTACCATCAGGGTTCTACAGGGGTTTAGAGACTTGAGTTGTTTGGGTGTTGGGGATTCATTGATTCGGTCTTTGGAATTTGAGGTGTTTGTTTTGGGGCCTTAAGGTCTTGTAACTTGGGGATCTGTAGGGTTCAGTGTTTTGGGGTTGGGGGTTTGGAGTGGGGGTGTGAGGGTTTCAGGAGTCGGGGCATCCGACGAAGTGAAGAGCCAGTCAAGGGTTGTCTGTTTGGATCTTGGGGGCCTGAGGGTTTTGGGCGGCGTAGGCTTTTTGTGTTCAGGGTATGGCTTTACAGATTTCTGGCATCGGTGTTGGAAATGTTGACATTTGCTTCAGACAGCCGCCAGCCCAGACGCTGCAGTCTATTCGTTCGTTGCGTGGCCTTACTTCGATAAACATGCTGCTGTCGCAGCTGCTACATCGCCATTGTCGTCATCATAATCCACAAACTCATCATCACCACCACCAGCATCAAAAGCAATACCATCGCTAAGAGCCACTGTTGTCTTCATCACTGTCGTTATAGCCACCAGCATCATCGTAGCAGCAGTACCCGTAGGAGCCCGGCAGAAACAGAAACAGAAGTAACAGCAGTGGCATCATCATCATCAGCAGCAGTAGTAGCAATAGCATTTGCAATCGTCATTGGCAGCCGGGGGGGAGGCAGCAGCAGGAGCAGGAGCAGGAACAGGAACAGGAGCAGTAGCAGCACTAACAACACTAGCAGCAGCAGCAGCAGCAGCAGCAGCAGCATCACTAGCTGTCGCAGTAGCAGCACTTGCAGCAGGAGCGGTAGCAGTCGGAGTAGGAGTAGTAGTAGTAGTAGTAGTAGTAGTAGTAGTAGTAGTAGTAGTAGTAGTAGTAGTAGGAGTGGTAGTAGTGGTAGTAGTAGTAGTAGTAGCAGCAGTCGTAGTAGTAGTAGTAGTAGTAGTAGTACTAGTAGTAGTAGTAGTAGTAGTAGTAGTAGTAGTAGTAGTAGTAGTAGTAGTAGTAGTAGTAGTAGTAGTAGTAGTAGTACTATAGTAGTAGTAGTAGTAGTAGTAGTAGTAGTAGTAGTAGTAGTAGTAGTAGTAGTAGTAGTAGTAGTAGTAGTAGTAGTAGTAGTAGTAGGGTAGTAGTAATGGTAGTAGTAGTAGTAGTAGTAGTAGTAGTAGTAGTAGCAGCAGTAGCAGTAGCAGTAGCAGTAGCAGTAGCTGTAGCTGTAGTCGTGGTAATCGGGAGTAGTGCCAGAATAGTAGCACGAGAAGCAAGAGAAGCAGGAGAAGTCGGAGGAGTAGGAGAAGCAGAAGAAGCAAGAGACTTTGGAGAAGTAGGAGTAGTAGTGGCAGTAGCAGCAGTTGCTGTCGTAGTAGCAGCATCATCTGCATCAGCAGTAAAAGGTTTAGCTCTTGACAACAGCAAAGCGCAATGATAAGAATATCAACATCAAATCTGTTTCTGGCCAAGGTCGGCTTCCTCTGGGGTGGGGGCCTGGCTTTCGACATCTCTTGCCCAGTTCGCCTGCTGTTTCAGAGGAGAGATTAAGCTATCTAAGCTCTCAGTTTTTGGGCTTCCTGCTCTTGTTTGCTTGTTTGGTTCATGGACTCTTTTGCCTGTCTTATGACACCCGGCGCCAAGCTGCAGATGTAAAACCAAGCCCTTAAACCTGAATCTTACTCTACCTATAGTCTCCTTTGTAGTTCCTTTTTTTGGTTCACCAAAACCTATATTATAGGATCCCAACCATGAAACCGGTCAACCAAAAAAGGGAACTACAACGGAGACTATAGGTAGATCCGCACTTGGAGGCCAAAGCCTGCCCTGAATCTTTACCCGCTGCATTTCCGTAGGAATTCTCCCCGGCTGGTCCTATTGGAATACCGCGGTCACGCAGTCGTGGGCCTTCGGTACATTGTACAAGGCAGGTGCATGCCCAACATATAGATTAGAGTTGTCCTTCAACAGAACTGGTTAGTTGCTAACAATTTAGCTTGTAGGTGCTTCGGGTTTCCAGGTGGCTTTTAGATCGGGCAGTGAATACAGCACAGCAAAAGAATGACATAAGTCTTCAACTTATACAGTACACAAATGGGAGTTTCCGAAAATTAGAGGTACTTTATTTTGGGGTCCTTATAAGAAAGATGCCACTGCTCAGGCTACTATATTAGGGTCCCCTATTTTCGGAAACTCCCAAAGTCCTACGAAGGTGGAGTGATGAGCCCAGCGCAGCTCGAAGATGCGCGTTACTGGAGCCAGACCTTCGACGCACCAGCAGGCGTGCGTTTGAGCGCTACAGCTACAGCATACCCAATATAGGCTGCATAGTGGTTCCTTTTTGGGGTTCATATTTAGAATCCTATAATGTAATCCCAAACAGGAACTACTATGGAGCCTATGGGTACAGATGGGGTGGCATACCTGCGCCGTCTAATTATATTCACTGCATCTTCATGTCTCTCCTTGTTTGTGTATCTCTGTTTCGCGTTTGCATCCGGAAACGTGGATGTGTGTGAGTGCTGAAGCTACACCCCGAGGTCCAAGAATCGGTGTGTCCCAATACGCACGGCATGCGCTGCTGCCGCCGGCGACATCTCCGCTTCCGTGCAAGATCTGGTGCCTCGTTGCTATACACAGCTTCATAATTAATCATGAAGCAACAGGTCGCTTTGGCACTTCATTGCCTCTTTCAACAAAGTGCATTTTACAGTGTCCGTTCTTGAGCTAGACACACACACACACACATGTTGTACACGTACTTCAGTACATGTATGTCTATACATACGCACATACATACTTACTTACTTAAATACATACATACATACAGATATATGGAAATGCATGTACAAATACTCATACCTATGACATAGACATACACATACACATGTACTTGCACATAGGCATGTACTTTTGCATGAGGTGTTTCTATATATGTATATGCATACATCCATACATACATGCAAACATACATATGTAAAGCCCTATAAGAACTACATGGCATGGACATACATACATATATGTGTACTTACGCACATGCATGAGCATTTAAATCTTTTTTCGTTTAAATATAGATGCATATATACATATATATATGATGCATACGCACACATACATGCACACATACATGCATGCATACATGCATGCTTGCATACGTACATACATACATACGTATTTAGACACATACATTATACACCTAACATTACAGTACATTACGTCATTACATACATACGTACTTACTTGTTGCTTGCTTACTTACATAATGCAGAATTACATCCACGCACAACACAGGTGCATGTGCATAGGTGTATATGTGCAATATATATATATATGTATATATATATGTACATGCGTAGGCAGATCTGTCTGTGTGTGTGCGCGTTTGTGTGGATGGGGCTGCTTCTGCCTGCCATTACTTGTGACGTTTGGCTTTTGGGGTAATCGAATTTCACCACGAGAGTTAGGCTTTTGCAGTCAGTTGTGTGATCCACCTCACCTCCGAGGTGACATTGGCTGCATGCACGAATGCTTCCAATATTGAGAAGCAGCTTCTTGCATTGCTTGATGGTCGGAGGAACACTTCGCGGTGGAGTTTTACAGTCTACCAAGCTGCATGCCGAGGTCCTTCTGGGCATTCCTTTCCCCCGAAGCACACACCTTTTATGTTCTTCACTCACATACTGTTAAATTACGAATCTCGGTCCGGGATCGTTGCATTTGTGCTGCCAAACTTTGCGCACGACTTCTACCATGAAGTCATGCCTCCGGCTACTCTTGATCAGCAGGGGGTCCAGGTCGTCGTGCACGGCCATGCCAGGCCATGCTGGCTGTTTGAGCAGAAGCCATCAAGCCAAAACACTGCATCTCTCTGCTACCTGTACCAAAGGACCTTCGAGCGGATTTGCAATGGTGAGGATGCCCACGTAATGCTGAGAGTCAGGCCGACGGCGATCTTAACAAGTTGGAATGTCATACGGCGAGTGCCAAAGCATCGGTTTGAGATGGCGATGCGCCACTCATCTTCGCCTCGTGACATGCACGACATCATGGGCCTCTTGGCAATCCTGCTATTGCAGACCATTTTACCGGAGCCCTTGGCGGAAATGGCGCTTCGGTCTGGTCGACACCTCGAAAGCGACAATGTGGAGCAGCTTGTGTACAGTAACGTTGCCGGGCATCGGATTTTTCAAGAGACTCGACAAGAAAGCTCGTTGTCATGTCAGGTGTAGTCATGCTCTGCAGGCAGTGCACTTATCCTAAAAACCCCTACCTGCTCCGTGCTCCCGCTCGCTGCTGCTACCACTACTACGACTACCACTACCACACCACTACCCTTACCGCTACCACTTCCCCTACCACCACTACTACCACTGCTACTACCACCACTACTACCATCACTACTACCATCACTACCACTGCTACCAGTATCACCACTACTACCACTGCTACTGCCACGCACCACTACCACACAACTACCGCTACTAAAACTGCTAGCCACTCCTGCCACTATTACCTCTACTTCCACTACTGCCCCTACCGCCCTACCACTACTGTCCCTACCACTACTACCGCTACCACTGCTACTACTAATTACTCCTGCTGCTGCTACTACTACTACTACTACTACTAGTACTAGTAGTAGTAGTACTACTACTACTACTACTACTACTACTACTACTACTACTACTACTACTACTACTAACACTACTACTACTACTACTACTACTACTACTACTACTACTACTACTACTACTACTACTACTACTACTACTACTACTACTACTGCTACCAGTCCTACTACATTGCCTAAACGTGAACGTGTAAACTAACCCTGGACGAAACAAGCCGAAACGAGGGTGCTTCCTAAACTCCTCAACCCGAGTAGACCCCAAACTCCCAAAATCCTAAGCCCTAAAGCCCTCCCCCAGACTTTCAATTCAGGGATTGCACTTTCAACCGAGTGTGGTCTCGTGTTTTGCGGAATCATGGTGGTTTTCAGTACCATGTGCGTCTCGGATCTGGCATGTTGGCTCAAAGTGTTTCGCTGACAGTGCTTGAAGCAGACTTGCAGACTTAACCTCCGGATGCGAACGTGCAGAATTGAGGAACTGGGCCTGGTTTCTTCCCCTTGCAGAATGTGTTGCCTGCCCTTAGGTTCTTCGATATCGCTGACCCAGGTTCAGGGCGCAGTATGAATGTCAGAGCCTTGCGCAGGACTTAGTCACAACTCCTTGTGGGAATTAACTGTCGATTTCTGGCTGGGAAATGCTGCTTGTGTAGCTTCACGCATGGTCTGAGATGTTCTTGCCATCTGATCGAGTACCAGCATATCATGACTCTCATCATCCTCACTGCTACTATCAACCGGTACCCACGCAGGCACTTTAAGGAGCTTATTAGGAGCGGCCACGAGACTCCACCAGCTGTTTCAGGCCCAGGGTCTGGGTTTGAGATTTTGGGTCCTTTGTCATGGCTCCGGGTTTAGGAATGTGTTGTTTTGCTTAGAGCACGGTCATCGCTATCATGATGATTTGAGTTGGTCTGGCTGTCGTATAGTGGCACCTCAGGAATCGTGCTTCGTAGACTGGCTGGGATCTTCCCCGTTTTCTTGAGTAGAACCGGTTCCTCATTCATTAACTTGCTAAGGGATTCGCAAAGAAGGAGCAGATGCATCGTCGAAAGCCTGGACGAACCTGTTGCAACCTATGCGTCCAAGCTTCGGAGCGAATAGTAGTAGTAGTAGTAGTAGTAGTAGTAGTAGTAGTAGTAGTAGTAGTAGTAGTAGTAGTAGTAGTTGTAGTAGTAGTAGTAGCAGCAGCAGCAGCAGTAGTAGTAGTAGTAGCAGTCGTAGTAGTAGAAGTAGTAGTAGCAGTTGTAGTAGTGGCAGGAGTGGCAGTAGTGGCAGTAGTGGTAGTAGTGATAGTGGTGGTAGTAGTGGCGGAAGTGGTAGTAATAGTATGCAGTATTAGTAACATAATGGTTTAGCAATAGTAGGCTGGAGGAAGGTTCGTCGTCGTCATTGTCATTCTCGTCGTCATCTCCATTGTCCTCATCTGCGCTTCCCCTAGTCTAGTCTATCAAATCTTAACTCTATTTGTGTGCATGCGCAGAAGAACGTCGCCTCATCTTCAAGCCATCAAGTCTCCGAAGCTTGCAGCCGTCATCCTGAACCCTTGACAGATTTCGTGGTTTTTTCGACCTCGGCCTCCAGCAAGCTGAGATGTCTGACTTTGAGAGGCACCCTGACTGTTCGGATTTCGGGCTTTAGGGTTGGGGTCAAGACCAGGAACCTGGGTTTACGTTTGACGGAGCCCTCGTTCTGGCTCATGGAGGCCTATTTCTCTCCCTCTCTCCCTCTCTCTCTCTCTCTCTCTTTTTCTTTCTCTCTCTCTCTCTCTCTCTCTCTGTCTCTCTCTACATATACATACACACACACACATATATGTATATATACATGAATGTGCATAGGGATGTGTGTGACTGGTACCGCCACTATTCTCGTCGCGTTTTGGCTATCTGACCCTCTTGCCGACTCTTGCCTGAATCCGGGAGCTTCGGCAGACTTGACTGTGGCTTGTGTCGGCTCGATTATAGGAAACTCCAGAAAGTTGGAATATGGTTTCATGGCAGGATACCCGATAATTTACCATAGAAGGGTTAGGATAATCATATTCCAACTTTCTGGCTTTTACTTTAGTTCTCAGCTTGTTCCAACGGCGATCTGCATTTGGGGCCCGTGACGAGTTTGAATGTAATGGATACAAAAACGAAGATTCCGTGTTGTCGGTGCTAGTGATGCTAATGCTGGTCGTGGTGGTGGCGGTGGTGCTGGGGTTGAAGGTGCTTCACATGTTTATGCTGCATTTCCGTTGCCATCAAATGTCCTAGTGTGCGGTTTGAACGGCATTGTAAACATAGCAAGGAGAGCAGTTCAAACTGAGTATATGGACTTCGGCAAGCTCAGCCTTCTTGCAACACGAACAGAGCGAGCCTGACAGCAATCTTAACGGCGATGGCCGAAGCAAATAAAAGGGTTGTCGCGGAAGCCGCCGTAGTCGCCGTAAGCGTCATGGCCAACATCCAATACTATTCTAGGGCTCCTTCATTATGATGAATATAGTATAGTGGGACCCAAAACCCTATTCTAATTATTTAGGCCCCCTATTTTGTAGAACCTTTGTACATCCCTTATAGTCAGTAGCCCTTTAAAGGACCCCGCTAAAATAACCCGATACTGTTAAGGCCCGTATATTCGGTTTGCTCTCCTGTTGGTCGTCGTCGTCCTGTGGCAGCGCCGTCGTAGTGACGGAAACAGAGCGGAAAATTGATGATCGCCGCTTGTGGTGGTGGTGGTGGTGGTGGTGGTGGTGGTGGTGGTGGTGGTGGTGGTGGTGGTGGTGGTCGTGGTGGTCGTGGTGGTCGTGGTGGTCGTGGTGGTGGTGCTGTTGTGGTTGGTGGCGTTGTCTGTGTTGTTGCTGCGGTGCTGGTGCTGGTGCTGCCGGTGCACGTGCTGGTGCTGCTGGCGCTGGTGCTGCTGCTGGTGCTGGTGCTGCTGGTGCTGCTGGTGTTGGAGTGCTGGTACTGGTGCTGGTGGCGCTGCTGCTGCAGGTGCTGGTCGTCTTCCTTGGTGTCCTAATTTGCAATGGTCCCGTTATCCTAAGCCATTTGAACCGTTCAGCCGGAGCCTCAAACGCCTGAAGCAACAGCGTTGTGCTCAACTTGCGACCGCTCCGCGTTGATCTCGCTGCAGGGGAATGTAGTGGCACGTAGCCAGGGCAACACAGGGAAGCTTCTAGAAGCAAGGTTTCTATGGCTTCGGGTTGGAGTTCCGAATATCTCGATCAAACATATGCAGCCGAACGCATGTCAGGAAGATGAAGGTTTATACTCCACTGTTCGCACCTACCAGGTTCTCTGTAAGGTCTCGAGCCACGCTCGTCTCACCTAGCTACCATGCTGGTTCATCGGTGAATGGCCCGGCTCCCAGAAGCGTTGCAGTTTGTACTGCTTCTTTCACTTGAAGTGGCATGCATATAACATAGGGTAAAAAAGCATGACGATATATATATATATATATATATATATATATATATGTATATATACCATTATGTAATTGGCTATAGTACACGATAATATCCTATAGTATAGCAGTATAACATAGCATTTTCACATTCTATCGGAAGTTCGGGGAGCGAGTTAGACTTCCGTCAGCAGGGCGAGGCAGCTGTGTTTTCTGACCCCAAAAGGGTCTAAGGACAAACAGCCCCGGCCTTCGATTCAAGCGCGTGTCGCTTAAACGCTATCCCCGACCCTCCTCAATCCTCTGCTGGGTTGTGCTTTGGGATAGAGCTGGACCCTACCATCCTCAAAATGTAGGAAGATAGAACCCAACCCCAAAACCCTAAGACTGTCTGGGTTGTGCTTTGGGATAGTTTTTAATTTCCTTCATTTCCTTATAAAGGGAACCTATGAATCAACAACTTTCGAAGGGTCTAAAGAACTTTCGAAGGGTTTAAAGCACAACCCAGTCTGACTCGAGCCGCACCCATGACAAAGGCCGTATTCAGGTTCATGGAACGTTTATAGAACCCTGCGAAACTTATCTATCTACATATACACATGCATAAATATATATATATATATATACATATATATATATATATATGTATGTACAGAGACATATATGAGTTTGTAGTTGTGTATGTTTACATAGCACCGTAGAACGTCTCGAAAGCCTTCCCTGGACTCGAGAGACTGAGGTGTCGAGCAATGCGAAGAAGCCTGACAGGTGATACAGGCCCGCGACCATACTTGGAGGTTAAAATGGGTAGTTACAAGGGTTCCTTTAAGGGTCCCTTCAGAGGGATCTATAGGGATTTTATAGGGGTATAGGGTTTAGGGTCTACTTGGAGGTTCACAGGTAGTTATAAGTAGGGTTATAAGTAGGATAACTATGGTTATTCCTCGGACAGCCCTTTGAGAACATCAGCCGCCGGCAGGGGGCTTGGAGATTAGGATTAAAGTTCACGGGCTTGGGACCTTAATTGGGGTTATAAGTAGCTATATACCCCACCCCAATTGTAGCCCTAGTTACTAAGTCCCACGGTCCTTTGAGTAGGGCTTCTTTTCAGTTTTGGGGGCTTTATGGGGTTTTGAAGGGTTCAGGTCTTTGGGATTCGGGCTTTGTGCGGATTATGTTTGGATCTCAGGGAGGGGTGTGGTGATAGGC